GTTGTCCTGAGGGCGTTCGTGTCAGTCAGCAGGAGCTGGACAGGGGGGGTCTTGGAGTCGAGAAGGGGGCACCAGCATACTCTGTCGAGCTTCATAAACCGTTTCCGCAGGCGGTCAACTTCCTCTCTGTCGACTGCATTCTCGAGTCAGAAATCCCGTGTGTGCAACGTTCAATGATGGGGTAGGCAAGGCTAACAGTTGGACCCTTGGACAATATTGTCCAGGACGCTACTAGTCGTGTTGCCCATCTTTTTTTTGCTGCTCGTGGCTCGGACAAACTTGGCTGGAAGCTTCAATTTGATGTAAACGGTTGTTCTATGTCTCGAGAGATCGCTTCGTTGTCCGTCAAGTGGTCGCGTGAGCCAGCAGTTGTCGGGCTGGAGTGGCGGGAGTTGATAGGGCTGCTGGATGGAGTTGTAATATTGAGACCTCTGGGGGCGACTGATGGTGGAGGGGCAGTCGAGGTGTCAGCTGGTGCACAGACCACCTCTTCCCAGAGAAGGCAACCAGCGGTGATGAGCCGTACCTGCTAATTTACAGAGTAGCATCACCGCATCTCGATCTATGTGTAATCATGAATGCAAACGTTCGTAGACTGTCACACAGGGGCCTCGTTGTCTCGGAATATTGAATCTTTATCTTTACACTCTGCTCGGCAACACAAATATTAAATGCATGACAATAAGCATCAAGTGAATATTGAAATTTCCAACCACCAAGCCCACAAGAATGCAACAGGAAGGACACACCCAGCATGTTGGAAAATTTAGCCCGAAAGTGCAAACAATGAAAAAACCATTCACATTTGGGTACTTGCAATTAGCTAATATCATCACACTGGAAAGAAATCGAGCAGGTTGATGACATGATACAGCAGCTACCACCTTGAGATGCATATAGGGTAGGCTGCCGTAAAGTAGAAATGGACCCAAGAGCCAACTCTAAGAGGTTGTATCATTCAGCATAATGAACTAGCGGGGGACCTCAGGACTTTAGTGCAATTTCTCCGTCGCCGAGGAGACGTTTCCCGCAATGAAAACACGCAACGCGACCGGATATTCCTATCAAACTTTAAAAAGAGAGCTTTTATGTAGTCACGCTGGTCTGGCCATTAGTAGGCCTATGCGAAAGCATCTTGGCCTAATGGTGGCCGATTCCGGTTGCCTCTGGTGCTAGTCTAGCTCCAGTGTTTTTGGTGGGATGTGCACAGTATGGGGATGGATTGGGGGGGGATCAGGCAATTACTGGTTGGCCATGACGGCGCCTTACTAACTGTTCCAGGACCGTCTATGAGGGTGAGGTGTGGGGCAGGAAGGAAGAGGGGGTAGCACTCAGGCGCCTCACGCTTTAGGGGAAGCCTGCGGACTGGCAATAGGGGAGAGTGGTCCGAGCGCCTCACATGTATCCTACGTGCCAAAGATGGCGTACGAGTGACTTAGCACTGGCCAAGTGGCCATCAAATCGCCCGCAATCTTCCACGCCTGCACCAGCGAAAAATCTTCGCGAGGCAAAACAATCCCAACGTCACCTCATCTGCCGCCGACATTTTGACCATCGAAAAGAGCCCCCAAAACCACCTTTTTCATCACCATTTTTGCACAGGGCGATCCTGCACACCCTCTTTTATGACTTGATCGCCTTTTTCTGCGGATTTTCCGCTGGCTAAGTGCCTCTCTCTACCACCCTTGCACCATGTCGTCCCGTAAGGTTCGGGTCAAGAAGTTGAGTGTCAAAACTGGTCTTCCAGTGCTCAGAGAGGATCAAATCGACCCTTCCGAGTACGAGGCACTCTCAACCGAGACCCAAATCGCGACCGGTGTCGAGCAGGCTGAGGAAAATGTGAGTTGTTTTCGCCATAGTCAGAGCATCGCGATATCACGTGCACTCGCACGTGATATCGCTTGGCACGGACCCCTGCATCCAATCACCATGGACAACCACTTCACCACTTCAATGCGCAAACCGTATACGGCTGCTAACCTAGCTTGTTCGCATAGGAATATCACTTGCAAACCATTCTCAAAGATGCCGGAACCAGCAATGACCAAGAAATCCCGGTCCCGCCTCCACAGGAGAGCGAGATCGACTATAATGACCTATACCCAAGTCAGTATCACCAACCATCGTCCTACATTCGATTCTCGCAAACGGTAGAAGAATGTATCAGCTGTCTTTATGACATGACAGCCGAGGATGATGTATTTCTCAAAGAATATAACAGCAAAGCTCCATCTTCGGGACCTTTACCCGAAGATGACTTCGAACATATTATGGAACTGTTCGAGGACACTGCTGCAGAACAGACACCCTTTGCATCAGTGGATAACACTGTCGTCCCCTATGAAATGATGGCTGCGGGGTTGAATCAATTGGAATCCCAATCGATTCTGCAGCATGCCAAAGCCATATATGAATATTGGAAATCGAGGAGGCAAGAGGGGGGAAACAAACCGCTCCACGCCTCTCTCAAGTTCGAGACACACCAGGACAGTGATGATACCGATCCTTATGTGTGCTTCCGCCGAAGAGAGGCCCGCCAGACCAGGAAGACCCGTGCTCGTGACACCAAGGTAGCAGACACTCTCAAGAAACTTCGCCGAGAGCTCGAGGATGGCCGCCAATTGGTGGTACTCACTGCTGAGCGTGAGATAATGAAACGGGAGCTCCTTAATGCGGACAGGGCCATCTTTGAAGAACGCGCGCGCTTGAAACAGATGAAGATCAAGCTTGGTATTAAAGAAGGTGATGAAGATCTCATCAACCAAAAGGTATGCTCTGACGGACACTTATCCATTAAGATTGATCACTTGATGCTGACTCTCTCCTTCCACAGCCGCAGAAGCGTAAGATCTCAGAAGCACCCGTGATGAACAGGCCTCCTGGGACCCACATGCGAGCCATGCCTGTGCGCGCCGATGGCCGAACGGTCGACTCCGATCTTGTATCGTTGGTCGAAAGACAAGCTGAAAAGGAGAATGAGTTCCGTACCGATATTGAGATGAAGGTCCAAAACCACCGCAAGTGGAATGCAAACCATATCGATCTCACTCGCGGGCCGCTGTCGCCAGTAAAGGAGCAGGGAACGGAACTGAAGTTCCGACCTGCCAAAACCCAGTACTTGATGACGCCGCCTGCATCGGTATCGGACGAAATGGATGTGGACCAAGAAGGAGGCCCTGAGCCCATGGCCCTTGACCGACTTCCCGTGTTCCAGTTTAAAGCAGGCGGCCATGGTGAGCATGCTCAGCCTAGCCATCCGGCCTTCCGTCGCCGTATAGGACGCTTGAATCGTCTTTGGATTGACCGAAGAGGGTTGGCGTCCCCGTCCAAGAGAGACAACAACGATTGTGGTGATCGTTGGAAGTACGACTCAGACTCGGACGATGATGAGCAGACCGAGTACGAAATCGACCCATTTGACACTCGTGCCTTGAAGTTCAGAGCGACGATTCCACTCAGCCCATTTATCTTCGGTAGGCGCCCAGATATGGCGCCCAGCGGAAACGGGCCAAACGGGCACAGAGCATTGCCGCCGGCGCAGGCAGCCCAAGCGGCGCAAGCCGCACAAGCCGCACAAGCAGCGCAGGCTCAGCAAGTGCAGAAGGCGCAACAAATGCAGCCGGCTCAAGTGGCATCGTGAACCCTCTTAACCGCCCACCCCCACTTGTCTTTTTCTGTTGTATGATATCGGTCGATGAATGTATATACCCTGATTTGTTGCGGGAGAGTATCGAAGTGTGAGCAGTTTGAGGCATCGCTGTGAGCAGGAGATGGTCGACATGTATAGTATTTTTTAATCGTGGGAATCGGGCATTGCGCGGAGTTGGGGATCGGGATTTTGGCGTATTAGAAGCTGAGCAGGCCCACGAAGGAAAACGTCAGTCGAGTATATAGCTAAACCAAATAAAGTAAAATCTGGTCCGTTGTGGACCACCAAGGATGTTCATGTCTCGGAAGGACTTGCTTGAAGATTGTGCTTGAAGATTGTGAGGAGTCCCCGTGCGTGGTGTGGTTTTGAGCGGGGGAAGGCTGCGGTCAGAATAGCTTCGCCCAGAGGTATGGAGCTAATGGGAAGGAAAAAAAAGTTCATGACTCGATAGATGATCGCATGGAGAGCCTGGATACAGCGATCTGGAAAGGAAGAGTGAAGGGGGAGCGGATTGGGAGCGCTGTTTGACGTGGAAGGATTATGAAGATATTCCAGGAGCAAAAGGCACCAGGGTCGTCGGCAAAGATGCTAGTCTAGTGACCAGCCGAGCAAAAGGAAGGGAAGGAAAAAAGCGGACGAGCAAAAAAAAGCAAAGCAGCGACTAGCAGCGGAGTAGTCCACTCTGAGAAGCAAGCAATGGACAAACGGAAACCTTGAGCGGTGGTGGTGAGAGAAGCTGGCAAGCCGATGCAGGTGAAGGGAAGACGGCCGACTGACTTGTTCCAAATATGGGGGAGGATTTCCCGTTGTGTGATCAAAACCAGGACACCCCGAACCAGTTAGAGAGAGCTTGTAGGAGCCGCCGACGGCCCCTGTGACCATCCGCATGGGTACGTGGGCTACGTACCTTTTTTCTGCGTGTGCGACGGCGTGCATGGTGCAGGCAGTTAAGGTAGGAACTGGGCCAAGGTCAGAGTGACTAAGCAGCCTTCAAAGCTTGGCTGCCCCGCGATGGGCCTTTATCAGCGATAGCCTCACTGGGCTAGAGGTGGGATGTGGGAGCTCACGAACGACGACGGATGGGAGTGCGATTGAGCCAGCCAAGCTCTGCAGCACGGTTCGTGATTTGCTCTCATATTTGATTTCAAGTTTATAAGTCCGCCGCTACTGATTTCTTGTTCCATTCTCACTATCCGTCCTCTCAGAAGCTGGAGAAAATCGAAGTTTGAAAAATTTAGCCCCTCCATCTTGGTTCATAGACTACAGCATCCTCCACATAGAGAACCTCCTGGCCCCGAACCCGGCCAAAGAGCACCTCGGACACATAGGAAAACACTCAAATACCCTCAAAATGGCACCCAAGGAGTCGTGGATCGCCATCGGCTGCGAGGGCTCAGCCAACAAGCTGGGCATCGGCGTCATCCTCCACACTCCCACCAAGACCACCATCCTCTCCAACCTCCGCCACACCTTCGTCTCCCCTCCCGGCACCGGCTTCCTCCCCAAGGACACGGCCGCCCACCACCGCTCCCACTTCGTCTCCCTGGCCCGCGCCGCCCTCGCTGAGGCCGCCGTCTCCCCCGCCGACGTCGACTGCGTCTGCTTCACCCAGGGGCCCGGCATGGGCGCGCCCCTGACCTCCGTCGCCGTCGCCGCCCGCGCCCTCTCCATCCTCTGGGGGAAACCCCTCGTCGGCGTCAACCACTGCGTCGGCCACATCGAGATGGGCCGCGAGATCACGGGCGCCGACAACCCCGTCGTCCTCTACGTCAGCGGCGGCAACTCCCAGGTCATCGCCTACGCCGAGCAGCGCTACCGCATCTTCGGCGAGACCCTCGACATCGCCGTGGGCAACTGCCTCGACCGCTTCGCCCGCACCCTGCGCATCAGCAACGACCCGGCCCCCGGCTACAACATCGAGCAGCTCGCCAAGAGGGGCACCCGCCTCGTCGAGCTGCCCTACGCCGTCAAGGGCATGGACTGCTCCTTCTCGGGAATCCTCGCTGCCGCCGACGCCCTCGCCGCCCAGATGTTCGCGGGGAAGGCCGACTTCACCCCGGAGGACCTCTGCTTCTCCCTGCAGGAGACCGTCTACGCCATGCTCGTCGAGATCACCGAGCGCGCCATGGCCCACGTCGGCAGCAGCCAGGTCCTCGTCGTCGGCGGCGTGGGCAGCAACGAGAGGCTGCAGCAGATGATGGGCGAGATGGCCAGGGAGCGCGGCGGGAGCGTCTTCGCCACCGACGAGCGGTTCTGCATCGACAATGGCATCATGATTGCCCACGCCGGGCTGCGGGCTTTCAGATGCGGGTACACGACCCCGATAGAGGAGAGCACATGCACCCAGCGGTTCAGAACCGACGAGGTGTTCGTGGAGTGGAGGGACTGAGGATGTGATGAATAATGAAGAAAGAAGAAAAAAATTAATAATGTCAGGTATGAAAAAAATGACGAAAATGAGCTTGCCCACTCGTTATGATATCAGTGTGTATGTGTATGGAAACAGCCTGACGATAGGGCCTCTTTTGGATATGCTACGTTTGACCAACCTCCGCCGTTTAACCTACCGCAAAATAATCTAACTCCAGGGACATCCGAGCCCGCGCGTTTACCCCCAAAAGATGAGAAAAAAGCTAAATTCATTGCCACCTCTGCTGCCGTGAAGCAGTATGATCATACCCAGATTCATAAATACATTTCATGTTGACTTTGATGGTGTAGTCCCGGCTAGTCCTCAGCTCCCGTGGGCTTGTAAATAATCGTTGTGACATACTGCACATAAGGTTAGCCCAAGGTCGTTGACAGACGTTTAAATAGATAGTGCTGATCCCTCACCTTGTTCCTGTAACGTGTAGTAGCCGAAACGGCCAGGATACCGTTTTTGATGCTGCTTGTAGCTAGGTGGTTGAGAACAGTATGATTGGGCATATTGAGGACGCTGTTGTCATCCTTCATGAGGACGGCTGCATTCAGGATTGGTTTCCCCAAGAAGCCAGGCAGACTGGGTGGGGTGACAAGCTTCTCAATTGCAGCAACGGCGTTTTGGTAGGCCGGGGAGTCCTCAGCCTGGTCAAAGTCTTGGAGGTACTCTGGAATCTCGCAGCGGTACGCCTCCGGGGGGAGAATTGGCCGGTGCTTTGGCACTTTGGGCTGCTCCGTGGATTGTGATGCCGACCGTGATGCTCTGTTCTCAACCTCCGCGGCGTCTGCCTTCTGGGAGGCGGCTGCCTGCTTTTGTTGCTGAGCATCATCCGGGCTGACCTCGATGTAGTTTACGAGATTGTTACCGAAGTCCACAGTTGTTGGTAAATCTGGTGTTGTTTGCATGACTCCATCAACCAAGAACCTGACATGGTGCGTTCCGGGAAGAACATGAATAGTGGCAGCAAAGCAGCCGGGCTTGCCCTCTCTGTTGAATCCATTGTTAGCTGTAAATGTCCATAATGGGCGAGTTTCACCCCGTATCCCAACTGTCTTTGACCTCCATTCAAGATGTACAAGACGAACAGAAAGATAATGACGTAGGACAAGACAATATAAGCCACTGTCCCACAGCGTATGCACCCAACCGAGACGGACGCCTTCTTGATAACAAAGTCGCAAGAGCAAGGGGTGAGGAGAGGGGAAATGAGACTTACACAGGGTGCAGCCGCTGCTTTCGATTCCATTGAAAGATGGAACCGGTGACATAGACCTTGTCTCCTCCCTGCTTCCATTCGAGCTTGGTCGGCACGACGGGGCGAGTCTTGTCGACTCGCAGCTCCTCAGACTCCTCCTCCTCAACCGTGCCGGCGCTCAGACCAGAGCTCTTCCTCGTGAGCGAGTCACTGATATCCCCCAGCTCCCCGACGTCGGCGGGCCCCTCGTCCGGAGCCAATATGGGCGACCCAGGCGTGTGCAGCTCCTCCTGGATGGGAAGAGGCAGACGGGGCGGATGAGTCAGGTATGTGATGTCCGAGACGCTGCCGTTGGACAGGAGGCGCGGGTCGCCCTGGGCGGCCGTGTCCGAGTTGTAGTGAGCGTGGGGCTGGTTGGCGATCTGGGAACCCGACTCGATGGGGACGTTGACGGGCTTGGACGGTTCGTGGTGTATCGGTCGAGGCTCGGCCGGCTTGGCCATGTTGCTGGTGTCCTTGTGGCTGTTGGCTGGAGTCGAGACGGTGCTGTGTGGTGAGCCGCTGAGGGAGGAGACGGCGGTGCCCGACAGACTCTTGGGCCTGCTCACGACGGTTGAGCCTTGGGCCTGGGCCAATGAGGCCTCGGGTGGTGCAGCAGACCGTTGGACTGGATGGATGATGTTCCGGGTGTCTCTGCGGCTCCCACGCGGAGACTGCGACTCTTGGCCGGGGGTCGAGGCACCGGAATTTGACGGAGCCGCCTGGGAGGAGGTCGGCGTGCCGCCTTTGGAAGATGTGGAGGGATGGTTACCCATGGTGCTCTCTTTCGTCTCGAGGGCTGGCTGGGAGAGGGGAGAGGTTAGGCGGGGGTGGGGAGGGCAGCAAAACAAGCTTGGATGGCTGCAATGGGCCGAGAATCTCAAACGAGCAGACGAGCACGAGGGCTAGAGTCGTGTGATGCGGAGCCGATGCGTGGTGTAATGCCCAGTCAGAGCCCAAGTCGGATTTCCCGTCTGGATTCTGGAGCTCTGGCTGCGTCTTTAGCGCCGATCGGTTGGGATGGAGTAGCAGAACAGTCGAGATGTGGGCGGCATGTACAATCCAGGACGAGCTGCAATTCGCCCGATTGGGTAGGAAGAGAAATTTCGGAAGCTGGCTGGGAGAAGCCGAGTGTCGTGGCACATGCAGCGGATGTCCCGTTGGGCAGCACTGCGGGCCTTGACGGTTTGACGTTCGCCAGAGACTCTCTCGCGAGGCAAAGACGGGTAAAGCAAGCTACCGGAACCAGTCGTCTTGTATCTTGGTCTTGAACCTTCGCGGCTTGTGGGCGGAGGCATGCAGCCCCACCAACCCAGCTAGCTGCCTTATCTTATCTCTGGCCGCGTGTTTAGGTGCGTAGCTGCATGCCGGTATGCACTAACAGATGTACCTAGAGACCTGCCGGCTGTCGCTGTGCTGGCCTCGATGCAGCTATACACAGCGCTAAGGGGGAACACAGGCGGTGCTACAGTGCTGCTTCCTCTCGTTGATGGTCCTCCCTTGAAGCGATGGCCTCGAACATGCGTGCATCGCACCTGGACTGTGTTTTATTGGATATTTCGTATTTCTGCCGCATAATAAGCAGCTGTCCAGCTGATTGATACCTATCCGTCCTTGCATGCCTGAGTACATATGTGCATCTGCAGGGATTTGGCTGGGTGGAACGGACCAATCGAGGGGCAGGCGACTTCCTACATGTACGTCAGAAACCATTTAACGACTGCTGGGGTGTCGGCAGCTGTCGCGTTCCAGACAACACGATACTGCTGTCTTCACCATTTTCACTAACACCGGCCCTTCCCGTCCGCCTTGGGCTGCAGATCCGGCTAAAATGAATCCTGCCTGGCATTGATTGACTGAAAACCCTTGACGCTCTCTGATCCGAGCCTCCGCCATGGCTGAGGTCCTCGAGGTTCTGGGCTCAGTGCTAGGCTCAGTGCTCGGCGCCCTTGTCCGCTTCCGCTGGACCTTCTACATCTCTCGCGTTTTCTCAATCCTCATCTTTCCGCTCAAGGCCGTGTCATACCCTCTGTCATACATCTTTCGTATCCTTCTTATAATATTCGCCCCCATCATTTATCCCTTTTCTTACATCTTCTCGTGGATCCGCACCATCTTGGGTCTCTTCGCAGGTCTAGCAGTGAGTCTACCAACTCCCTTCGGATTATAGAGTTGTTCGCAATCAAGATTCGCTGACATGTAAATTCAATGTCTGCAGCCATTGTATACTTTTGTGAGCACTACTCCTTTTGATTATGAGATTGGAACTGTGCCAAGCACTAACACAATCAGTTCGGGGTGGCGGCCTTTGTTGGCGTTGTTACTGGGCTCGTCCTTGCTGTTTTCTCAAGCTATCTCTCCTCGATCTTGGGCATGCAGGACAGTCCGTTTGATGAGCAGCCATCGCGGGGGAAGATGAGATATCTGGAAGAGGATGACGATGTGGATGAAGAGGAAGACGATGGGCTGGGTAGAGATGAATCCTCCTCGGGGGGAGAGTTGGAATTGAAGTGGTTCGAGTCAACCTCGGCACGACGGCGACCCGCCTCTGGATTATTATCACAGATCATTCATGAAGAGCTCGACTCGTCTGAATAGTATTAACGTTGGACTATCATAGCTATCCATGTCCCCCTCGCAACCGTGTCTCAACCGGTTTTGATTCCTTTTTTTTGTAACATTCTCCGAAATTCAGTCTAAAGCAGAACAGACCAAGTCTAATGTGAAGCACTCATAATAGAATTAGTATAACATGGATGGGCAATCCACATCCTGGCCTTTGTTTCCCTCAACGCCGTGTCAATCCTATGGCAATGGTGGGTGTATCGTGATGCTTCCATAATAAAACGACAAAAGATGATAACCCAACGCCTCACTGGTGTAAGCCAGCCCCTCGTCTTTGTTGTTGGTGGGGTGCTTGAACCCAAGGGTAAACTGGGGCAGCTCCTCACCGCCGATAGATATCCCTCTGTTCACGCTCGCGCTCCCGGCCCCGATCATGTCTTGGGGATCGACTGCGGCTCTGCTGCCGCCCCTCCTGCCACCGCTCATCCCGAGGTGGTGGCCTGGGTCGTCGGTCATCTCTTGGGGGTCGGTCATCTCTAGGCAGTCGGTCATCTCTTGGGAGTCGGTCATCCCTTGGTGGTCGATCATCCCTTGGTGGCCGGTCGTCGCGCCGACCACCACCGCCTTCGCCTCGGTAGCTTGGTATATACGTGTCTATGTCACCTCCTCTGGGTGCAGCGCCGCCTCTTCGTGGACCTCGTTCATCCTCGTGAGCAGGAGGAGGCCTACCGGGAGGGCCCCGATCTCTCTGCCATCCGGGCCTGCGCTCATCGGGCCTGCGCTCATCAGGTCCGCGGTAACGGCCATTGGCGCCGCCGTTGCGGCTGCCGTAACCATCACTGCTATTGAAACCTGCAGTGGGCCCATTCGCATCTGGACCAATGCCTACCGTGCCACCCTTAGGGGCCGGTGGAAGATTAGCCTTGCGATCGTGGAACTTTCTTCGGTCCAGCTCGTGGCTTTCTTCATATTTTGGGATCTCGTGAGGCTCCATGGGCAAGGGCTGCATCTTGAAGTAGCGGTGATCGAGAGCATCGACGGCGTTGATGCGTCGTCGCCAGTCGAGTCTCATCAGATCCTTGAGCAGTTCCACTGCGCCATTGCCAAATCTACACGATCACATGTTAGAAGAAAAGGACACAAGTAATAAATTTGGTCTTGGAACCTACTCCCGGAATCTGTTTTGAAGGACACCAGGTCGTTGGCGTGGTGAAAGATGAGCTCCACCAGGTAGAAGTTTCCAACCCGGCATCGATTCTTCAGTAGGAGAGCCCATGAGGTCCCAAATGAGATCAAGTTGATGGCTATCACTCTCGCCAGCCAAGATCGGCTTGCCTACCAACATCTCGCCAAAGATACATCTGCATACATTGTCAGGTTGACATGCGCTTTAGGGAGGATGAAAGAAGGATACTGACCCAACACCCCACACATCAATGACGGGAGTGTACTGTCTCAACTGAAGCAGCAGCTCAGGAGGTCGGTACCATCTGGTAACGACCAGTCCAGTGTAGTCACGGCGTCCTTCGCCCATGTCTTTTCCGGCTTGGGGAGTCGGGCCATCGTAGTGTCTGGCCAGACCAAAATCGGCGATTTGTAGGATACCTTGGTTGCTGATGAGCAGATTGGCAGCCTTCATGTCGCGATGCAGGATGCGATTGTCGTGCAGGTATCGAAGGCCCTGCAGTAGCTGGAGCATGTAGCATTTGATCTGTGCCTCCTTGAATTGGACTGAAGGGTTGTCTAGGAGACCCGACAAGTCGTGGTCCATGTAGGGCATTACCATGTACATGATGGGTTTCTTCCTTTTGTCGGCTATGAAGAGGGGATTAACACTGGCGAAGAGCATTGGTGGCTAGTTTGTAGGGGCTTACTCGGTTTTGTTGGATGCTCGACTGCCATGTCCTCGAGTCTCAACACGTTCTTGTGCGAGAGCAGCTTGAGCAGCTTGATTTCGCGAAGAGCCGTAATCGGGAACTGTATCAAGTCTTGGGTCAGAAAAGTCAACCTGGGCAGCTAGGCACAGCCACATACGCCATCTTTTTCATGATGCATGATGATCTTCTTCAATGCGACCTGGGCACCAGTCTTTCGAGATCGTGCGCGGTGGACCTCACTGGCAGGCAAGGTTAGCAATCCAACTCATCGCAGGGAGTTTGCGAGCGCATATTACCCAAAGGTTCCTTCTCCCAGCTTCCCCAAAAGTTCATAGTCGGAGATGCGCGAGCAACCGACGAAGCTCGACTTGGGGCGCAGGTGGTTCAGGGCATATGTTCGAGGCGAGGTGCCGTCTGGCGTCCGCTCCACCACTCTTGGCTCGGTAGCCATGTTGTACGTTCGCTTTTATGTTTTCCTTGCGGAAAATGGTGGTGAAGTCGTCGAGGCTAGAAAATTGTGGGTTCGAGCGTGCGGCTGGGCGAGGTCATCTCAGAGCCTGATGGCCCACGGGACAAGCATTGCCTGCCAACGCAGAATCGGGTTCGGGAGGCGAATCCAATCAAAGTGGTGGTCGCAGTCTGAGTGTGTGGCGCCGGGCCTAGGGAACGAGGGAAGGGCAAGTCGAAGGATGGGTGTGGTGTTGAGGAGTGAAAGTCGGAAGCTCCTGGTCGCCGGCGATAAGTATCCTGGACTATGTATTTACAAAGAAAGCCCAGAAGAGCGAATGGACGGGAGAGACTCTTGGATTGGTTGACGGACCGCGACGACGGGAGGCCTGAATAGAGGTTAGCGCTAGTGCCGCATTGAAATGGGCTGCACCTATTGTGCGTATCAGGTACTTTACGGCCGCCGACAGCTGTCAGACGGCTCCCAGCCACCTCAGCGTTTCCGCGAAATTTCACGTGGTTAGAATTTTCATATTAAGGTGAGGGAAGTTGGGAATTGAATGAATCTTTTTGAGCTTTTTTAGAAAAGTCGTTTGTTCATTTGCTGAGGTCTTTCCCAAAATCATTCTTGGTACCACCAAGGATCCATATCTTATCGATGGTACAAAAGCGGCGCTGGTTGCCTCACTTGTCCGCTGCCGCATCATCTGAATAGAAAACTTTGGTATATCTTGGTCATTGTCCTCTTAAAACAAAAGCCAATACTAAAGTGGTCCTTTCAGATACCGCTTCCCAGCCATAATCATGCCTCCTATTAATCGGGTGTCTAGATGTGAAGTAAAGTCCACAGCTACTAACTTGTTAGACTCCAAAGTGTTGTTCCCGGAGGATTGGTATCTTGCACCATCTAAATTAACCATGGTACAACACGAAAGACCAAAGGTCGGAAATTCAAATATGATTTAGATTTGGCAGCTGCCATTTACCGCAATACAATACAGCTGCTATTAAGTGGTGGCCTTGTGGGGAGAATTCGGCATTTGCTCGCTGCCCCAACGAGCGGTATCGTGATTTACCCGTTTTGTGACTGTGACGTACCGTATCTGCATTTCACCGTCTGCCGCCTACCGTCAGCCAAGAGCTGTCAGAAATGCCGATAGAGTGATTGGATGTCTCGAGCCATGAGCGCCTCCTGCGAGAGACTCACCACTTTCTTTCATACTCTCTTTCTTTGCAGCTCGTAATCTCTCTCTTACTGTGAAGCAGCCCGATAAGGCCCCGGCGGTACCTGCATGCAATCAGTCAGTTCTGTTCTAGAACGAATCCTCCCTCCAGGCTCTCGCTCCCTCTCCGTCATCGCTTCTCCCCACATTGCGCCCGCTCCAAACTATTTCGCATTTCATGGGGGTAATGAAAACCTCCCAAATGAGCCCGCCCCAGGCGAAAGCGCGAATCAGTCGAATTTTCATTTGCAAAGAAAATTTCTCTCTCGTAAATCTCGCTGCCATGGCTCCACATGATGCTACAATCCGGTGTCATGTTGCTCGTTGGAATTTTCCCTCCCCCGTTCAGTCCAGAATGTCGTTATGTTCCTCTTATATGGCTTGACATCCCCGGACGGGCACAAATCTCGTACATACAAAAAGCTACCTGGACCCTCCCACCCATGAGTGACATTGTTGCTGTTTGCTTATCACTGCTATCTCGCCGTTCCCGAAGCAGTCTATTGGTTGCTGTCGATTCATTCTGCTGCTAAACCTTGTTCTTTCTCCTTATCTTCGACTTGCTGCTTCTCACTAGCGTCTGCCTCATACATCTCGTCGAATTTCACAACTCAGCCGTCGATTCGCCCTATCATACCTCGAGAGATGGCCACTCCAAGCTCCGCTGGACTGCCAGAGTCCAGAGTCCTCATTATCGGCACTGGAGGCACGATATGCATGCAGCAAGGCCCTGATGGTCTCCAGCCCAGCGGTGACTTCTTAGAGTCCGCCATGGCGCCAAGACCGACCTTCAACGACATGTCTACCCCACGAGGTAAGTTGCTTTCACATATATATGATGTGATATACATGTATATATATATTTGATTATATACACGCTATATTCATTTGCACATATCCCCATTGTATAAGCACCCCTCATGACGGACCACTCATCTCATCTCACAACACCATCTCATCTCATATCATCTCTCATCTCTCACCACTCAACCCCTCAACTAACATAATCCTCTCTAGTCACCTTACCAGCAGTGCACAAGGGCAAGCAAATCTCAATCCCCAGCCTGCGCACCCCTCCCACAGCCTACCAGCGCCATGTCCGCTACGGCATCGTCGAGTTCAGCCCGCTCCTCGACTCCTCCTCCATGAACGCCCAGGACTGGGCCGACATCGCCATCTCCGTCAAGGAGAACTACCACCTCTACGACGGCTTCGTCATCCTCCACGGCACCGACTCCCTCGCCTACACCGCCTCCGCCCTCTCCTTCATCATGTCCAACCTCGGCAAGCCCGTCATCCTCACCGGCTCCCAGGCCCCCATCTTCGCCCTCCAGTCCGACGCCGTCGGCAACCTCCTCGGCTCCCTCATCATCGCGGGCACCTTCGTCATCCCCGAGGTCGGCCTCTTCTTCCACCACAAGCTCTACCGCGGCAACCGCACCACAAAGGTCTCCGCCGCCTCCTTCGAGGCCTTCGCCAGCCCCAACTGCGAGCCCCTCGCCAAGGTCAACGGCCTGGGAATCGAGGTCAACTGGCCCCTGACCTTCCGCCCGACCACCATCGCCGAGTTCGACATCCTCGCCAACATCGACACCACCCACGTCGCCTGTCTCCGCGTCTTCCCGGGAATCAAGCCCGAGATGGTCGACGCCGTCCTCCGCCTCCCCGACCTCCGGGGGCTCATCCTCGAGACCTTCGGCATGGGCAACGTCCCCGGCGGCTCCGACGGCCAGCTCACCAGGGTCCTCCGCGAGGCCATCGACCGCGGCGTCATAATCATCAACGTCTCCCAGTGCGTCTCGGGTTTCGTCTCCCCCGTCTACGCCGCGGGGACCCAGCTCGGCCGCGCCGGCGTCATCTTCGGTCTCGACCTCACCGTCGAGGCCGCCCTCACCAAGCTCTCCTACCTCCTCGCCCTCCCCAACCTCTCCAGGGACGACATCACCGCCCACCTCTCCCGCTCCATCCGCGGCGAGATGACCGAGACCCCGCGCATGACCTTCTCCCACCCGGGCAGCTCCATCGACGACGCCGCCGCCAAGCTCTCCCCCGCCGAGGCCGCCTTCGCCGCCCTCGGCTACGCCATCCAGCAGGACAACATCGAGGCCGTCCTCGACCTCCTCGACGGCGATGGCCGCAACCTCATCAAGCAGGCCGACTACGCTGGTAACACTGCCATTCACCTCGTCGCCGTCTCCGGCAACGCCGACATCATGCGTGCACTCCTCCAGCGTGGCGCCAGCGTCCACGAGCGTAACCGTGCGAATATCTCCCCGCTCCTGCTTGCGACCCTGTCAGGGAATGATGCTTGTGCTCAGTTGCTTAAGACTGCCGGTGCGCACATGACAAGTGAAGAGCTTGAGAGAAAGCTGTCTAATTGAACATAATGAACTGGCGTTTTCATTTTCATTTTCTGGATTTTCTCTTGTCATAGCACTCGATATCAGTGCATATTAGGTTTGGGTTAGAAAATTTGCGAGTGATGAATAGAGAACACAATCGTGAACAGAAATGAATGATACTTTCTCTTTTGGCTATGGCTTCAAAAAGGACATTGGGATATATATGTATGTCATGTACTAGACAGCACCTGATGCATATATATGTATGTAAGTCTATTGATGACTATTCAACCATGGCAGGTCCGGTTCGGTTTTCGTCAGTGAACCTGCGATTCTGAAATAGCACCTGCTATTTTCATGTGTGGAAGACGCTGGCTAGGGATCATATTGAGTGAGAAATAGGCAAAGACGCAAGAATCGAGCCTCCACCAAATACGGCCTCTATTCCAGCACAGGGGCACGAGTGAGTATTAGTAGGATCTCGCTCTCCAGGCAACGAATTCCGTTCATGGAACCGTTTACACCTCCCACAACGCCACTTTCTTTATACACAGCACCATTTCAAAGTGTCTCATACAGGTCAGATAGTATGATGACTTTGCCTTCCACATCTTTGAGACCTTAGGTAATGTATCTTTACAACTGCGAATTCGAGCTGCGACATCCAAGTACCCAAAAATGAGACCTGGAACAGATATCCACCAATGCAAACCTGTTTATCGAAGGAAAAGGTCACCTGCACCGTTCCTTACTGACCTTGATCTATCCACATGATTCAGGCCGAGGTAGTCATCTTCTGAAGAAGCCGCATTCCAAAGTTGATCATCTTCATAACCAAATGTTAGCAAGCGAGTAAAATTATATGACAGGTACACTGCTGACCATCGTTGAGATATTGCGGTTGCGAATAGTTCGCTCGGCGGACAACGGCAAACTTGATCTTCTCAAAGCTCTTGCCTTTAAGGCCTGTGCGCTTCTCTAGCCGCTTCTTTGTGTCCGAGAAAACCTCGTTCTATGAAGGACATGCTTTGTTAGTATTCAAGGAACGATCTTCGATTTGAGCCTCTGATTGAGTCAAAATGCCATACCTCGAGCAAGAGAAATTTGAAAGGAACGCCGTGGGTCCTGCTAACTTCGTTCTGGAAGTGGAAAACCTGGATGAAGTTGTTCTCGTCTGCTACGAGTTCTTCTTCGGGGACACGCTCGGCATAGATCTGAGTGTACTCGCTAAGATTCAGAACAGGATGGTCTCTGGGAGGCTCCCGGTAGACCCTATTCGAGCTGGTCTCATATATCCTGATCTTACCGCCTTCGGTCTCATCGGGAATTTGGGCTTTCTTAATCAGGCCCTGGACTAGATCTTCGATGTTGCCGGTCTTGGGAACCAGAATATCGAATTGCTCCTAGTGATGGTGTCAGCATTTTCTTCGCTTCGCACATGTAAAGAAGGGAAATGTTTGTTTTGTACCTCTTTCGTGATTCCTTCCGGTAGCCAGGTGACCTTGATGTTCTTCTTGGTGTCGAATTCGGCCAAGCTCATTTCGAGAATCTCTAGATAGAACGCATCGTTGCGTTGACTTGAATTGAAGCTGTTGGCCATGGGATTGAGGATTTGACGAAGATTGGGGTTGGTGGTTCGCTTCACAGGGGTCTTGGGATTGTTGGTCGCCGAATTGACAGTCCAGAAGCGAATATGTGTAGGAGGAACGCCAATTTGCGTGCTGACACGCTCAGCAAGAGCGTCGTACTGCATCTTCGAATTGAGCACAAGTTCAAAGGGCGCAAACTGCGACTGGTCTGTTTTTGAAGGATGAGGCAAAAATTTGACCGTTCTCCTGTGCTCAAGGAAGTCGTAGTATTCCCTTGCATCTTCAAAAGTTTCCGATGTTGCGTTGCTGAGTTAAGAATTAGCATATTTGATATTGTAATCCGAGCACAATAAACTCACGGCTCCTCGGTAACAGTTTCCCCAGCCTTGGAGGCATCAGCCTTACGCTCAGAACCAAGTTGGAAGCAAACTATGTCGCCATCTTGAAGCTCAGCTGCCTTCAATGACTGCTTGGGCTTGAGAGGTTCGATCATTGTTGGTTTGATTTCCTATCACTTGTTAGTATTGTCGTACTGGTAGCTTTCTTCTTCGAATCGAATAGTAATTTCTTACCTCCCAAAGAAGAAGCTTCTCCTCCTCAGCTACCTTCTCTGTCCATCCCATCTTTTCCAAGATGTATGGGACGAGATCTTCAACTTTCTTCTCCTTGGAAATGTACACATGGCCTACGCCGTTGAGTGTTTGGGCTTGGACATCAAAGTGTTTGAGCAAGAGGAGTATGATGTCGCTCTTAACGACAGCGCCATTTGGCTGGCCTTGGAATGACGGCCAGGCGACATCTCCATTCTCCTTGACCTCATTGGAGACTTCGACCCACAGACGCAGAGCTGAATCACGGTGGGCCGCGGATCTGGCATAGATCTCCTCTACAGTTGGGGTAAGATCCATAATAGGTTGGTCGGGTCGAACGGTCCTATTTTGGCGATTGACCATGAGCCAGAGACGAATTCGCTTTGGATCTTGACCAATATCAGCTGCGATTTGCGCAGAAAACTCTTCCATGGTCATAGATCGTCGAATACGGTAAGACTTGGGAGCAGCAACGTCAGTATCCGGGTTGCTCTCGAAGGAGCACATGTCGGTGCCCCCATAGTTCTTGAATGATTCAGGCGTCACGACCTTAGCCATCATGTACAGATGTGCCTCCTTTTGCTCTTTGACTCGAGCCTCCTTCAGGGCAGTCTCCTCCTCAAAGCGATCCTGTAGATGTTTCGGGGCAGCATCTTGAGTAACAGGTCTGAGAATCTTCTCAACTCTCGACTGCCTAATATACACCAACATGTAGGCGCTATTTTGGCGGATGATAGGGGCCTTCTTTTGTAAAGGTGCTCGAGGGTACCCATTGGGTGTTCTGTATTCTCCTCCGAAATTTTCTTCAAGAACTTCGCGAAGAGTAGCCTTGGTCACCTTGTCGTCATCGTACTTGTAGAACCAGCCATCTTTTCCGGGTTTGATGAAAGCATAGTAATGACCGGCGTTAAGATCACCGCTATGGACCAGCACACCATGTAGCTGATAAATCCAGGGCTCAGACTTGTCAGCATCCTCCACTAAGTAGGGCGCCGCGTCAAAAGTCTCTGGGAATTCATATCGATCATTGATCTTCATCATCATATCGCGCTGAATGTCGTACTCGAACCGTTTTAATTGGAGATGCAGCACGTCGGGAAAGCTGGTGAAGATGACACCTTTGTTGGCATCCTGCAGCTTGTGTTGATCGCCGGCAAAGTACTGGTTTTCGCCCTCCATCTTTTCGACCTGAATGTAGTCTTTGAAACTGTCGAGGAGACTCTTGTTGCCGCTCACGTTGAGCTGGATATCCCAAAAGTCCTCGATTCGGCTCGATTCGTAGTCCACATTAATGCAGGAAATATAAGTCTTGATCTTCCCGCTGAACATTTCAGGAAGTACTGTCTCGGCTTTTGTTCCCTTCATCTTCTCCTCCATGCGCTCCATTAGCTTACGGGATAGCTCTTGCACATCCTGCTGCTCGAAAATGTGTCGGGTTTCCCAACCAAACGATTTCGTGAGCTCGTTGGTTCCAACAGCCTGTTCAGAGGTCTGAAGTTGGTAGAATAAGCGCTGTAGTGTGTATGCGCTGTTCTGCTTGCTCTGGTCGCCCTCGGTGGGAATTTCGTAGATGGCTTGTCGGAATGCGTTTGTGAAGTACAGACTCTGCAGAAGTGAGTTGAGGTAGCAAGTTGCTCCCTGGTTCTTTAATCCGACATATCCAGTCTCCTTCTTGGAGTCATAGTTGCTAAAATTGTGCCATAGTACACCAGTCTCGTCCTCGACAAAGCGAAGGTAAGCTGTGATGTTGGCGGTGTCGTTCTCGCACAACGGCCGGGTGCCTCCCTCCCAGGGGACGTTAAACATCCGTCTGTGCTCAACAAATCGTGTGAAGCCCCAATCGCCTTCCTCCTTAGTGAATCGGTGATGGGCAGAGTGGTGTATATATATACTAGGGTCGTTCGGGTTCCAGAGAACCAAACCAAATTGGACGCATGCACTCCAGTTTTCAGGTACTTCATTTGGTTCGAAGCCGTGTTCAAGGTAGATGGAGCATTGGTCGATATTATTGCCGTGTGGAAAGAGCAGGATTCGCCTAGGTAAGACCGAATCATTAGCAACAGGTACATCCACGGGGGTAATACGACCGGCGGCCAAAGTCATACCAAGGATATCCTCCTGCTTGGAACACTGGGCCATGTTCACGCTTTCCGAGGTTTCGCCAATTTGTAACAGTCCAGTTATCTGTGTAGTCCTCGATGATATTTGGCTCGTCAAGCAGTGGTGGGAGAACAATCTCTTTCATAGCCTCATCTGAATTCGTAGAGCCCCGGGTTAGCAAAAACCAGTCTTGGTGGCATACGGGAATGCAGCCGAGAGAATTTACGCACAGTCATCGGCGACGGGTAGATCTTGAAGTTGATCGGCTTCTTGGTCAAGGTTTTCTGGGCTGATGATGGCTACAGGGTCCTTCTCCGGGTCATTGTCGACGTCGAGGTAGTCACCGGTGTCGACCACCATCTCGTTGGGTGAAGGAGCGTTATTGTAAGCCTGGTCATCCGGCCGGGGTTGGTTAGTTATGCTTCGGATGGGCAGGTTTTGCTTGGAGATCGCCATGGTAGTAGAGAGTTGGGGGAGCAAAAGGAGAGAAGTGAGGCGAGTTAGCAGGTGGGGAAGATAGTGAGATCATGAAGCGAACTGGCAATGGGAAGAAAAGAATGTTATGGAGAAAATGGTGTTCGAATCCGATCAAGGCAGAAATGGCAGAGGAGGGGACATGAGGTGGCGAGGGATGGTCGGGACGCGTGAGACGAGAAGCTGGTGCGGGTGCTTGGTTTGGGATGGTGGTGGTGGTGGTGATGGGTGAGATGTGAGGATGGTGACGTCGAGGCGGGCGAGGGCGAGGGTAGGTGCAGCCAGGCGGGCGTGACCAGCAAAACACGGCGCTGAAGGAAATGGCTAGACAAGCGAGTTTGCTGCCAGAATGCGCAGATGCAGGCAGGAGGGCAAGCAGACAAAGAAGCGGCAGGCAGGGAGGAGGGTGAGGAAGGAGCAGAGGCAGCCACTCACCATCTTTCTGTTGGGCGCACAGGCAGGAGCTCCGGACAGAGAGGCAATGCAGCAGTCGCGCACAGATATGTGACGGACGAATTTCAGCTCGGCAGGGCTGGAGGTGGGGGTCGTCCGGTTCCGTGGTCTTTCTTCTCCAGGAGAGCTTCCGCAGCTCGCTCTTAACAGCAGCTCCGACTCGTCCAGGAACTGGCCGTGTGTGTGTTGCGTCGCATTCAATCGGTCAAGGGCCGTTCTCGCTAGGTGGGCAGAGCTTTCGCTGGAGGTACGGGAGGTGAGCGGGTATGTCTAGGAGGAACGTCGGCAGCAGTTACGTTAGGGCGAGTCCTCGAATGCGGGGGCAAAACCGGTCCGTGGGCTTCGCAGATGGATGCCGTGGTTGAGCAATGGTATGGTAGGTATGTTATGTATATAGTATGGCTTAGACTACGTGGAATTAGACAATGCTACTGACAGAAGGCATCTGTGGGCCAAGCTGGAGATGGATTCACGCCACAGACAGGCACTGGCCTTGCTGATGGGCAGACATGGGAGGCTAGGATTTCCCAGAGTTTCACCACTCATCATCGACTGAGTGACATCGTCCTGCACAACGTTGTGCGTACCCCCCACTGCTACCTGAACCCGTGTAGCACCAAGCAGCGCGTCCTCTGGCGGGGACGTGGTGGCTTTTAGCGGGCGGTGCTAAACCGCTTGGTGAGGTGTGGCGTATCCAGCAGGCTACCACTACAGGCGGCTTTGGGGGTTGGACGTTTGCCCCTCCAACGAGCTCCAAATGACGTTTCTCATAGGCGTGCTTGCTACGTAAAGCCTCCATCCTTCACCACGCATGCACGCTGCGGCTTGCCTATCACAGGTAGCTCATGCTTGCCCATTGCCATGATGTTCGCGTACGTCCTGCATTGACGTGCTTGAGTGAAACGGAGAGTGCATTCCTGGGTTTGAAGGACGTTTCCATGGAGCCAACACATCACAGCACTGAGGCATGATCGAGATGCGCAAACCTCAATCACATGCTTCCAAAACCAGCAGGTGCTACCCCAGGCAGCACATCATCACTTCTATTGCTCCCAATCACGCTGACTGCATGGTATGCCCATGCTATCACCCTCCGGCACAGCGGAACCACACACTTGGCCCTGGACCTCTCATCCTGGGTCCCTCAGTGGGATCTGTGAGCAACACAGTTTGTCGTCTGTCCTCTGCGATTGCTAGGTAGCCATTGACCTACACTATGTCTGTCGATAATCCGTATCTGGATCTCTGAATTGAAGTAATGCTCGAGTGCCAATCCTATGATTGATGCCACATCTACTTACACCACGAGTATCACCTCCTATGCGCATGTAGCAGCCGTATACCGTGTAGGCGGGGGAGGGACAGCTTGTCAGCCCTCCACAGAGAAAGTGTGCGAGTGAGCTATGATCTTTGACCGCCGTCGCATTCCCACTGGATTGGGCTACCGCACCGTTTCCTCTGGATTTGTCAGATACAACCAAAATCAGGGGCTGCGTTGTGACTCTTCCAGCTCCTGGCCCAAGGTGAACCTCACCTTGTCCGGCCGGTGCTCGCAGGTGTGGGGTTTGCGCCAAGTTTGTACCCAAGTACCTCCAAACTCAGCTGAAGCTCCGAATCTGCACCGGCGGATCTGGAGAGCCGCCCCCGTCGTCATACTTCATCCCTCACTCACTGAAGAACGAGCAGCTCTCACTCATTGCCCAACCGACTGACGGAGAGGTGCTGCCCACGAAGAAGCCTCTCCTTGCCACCCAGTCGGCTCGCTGGCCCTCCTTTCGAGCTCGATCCCATGCCACGATCATCCCGTCGACCTGCCGATAGGCTTCGTTGACAGAATCCACATTTTCCCATCCATATCGCATGTGCATGGAACCGTTGGGATGTTCTCCAACGTGCTGCGCAACTCCAGCAAACGCACCAACCTGAAAACAGCAATCGCATCGGCAACATCTTCTCTTTCTCGCCCAACTGTCTCATCCTATCTCCGCCACTCGGGCCCTCTCGCCGCTAGCCGAGGCCCCTCCAGGCCATTTACTGCGATATGGCGACCAGCCCATATCCTGGATGAGTAGGCTCCTCCTTGCGCCTGTCTATGGTATCGATCAGTTAGTCTAACTGTGCCTTGTTCGCTGTAGATGGGTGGCGAAGGAAGCGCGGCCAATCAGTCTTCGCCAGTTGATGGTCTTCGGTCGATCGCTTACTGAGTCACGACTGATCAGCTCCGCCAACTATGTGCGCACCGAACTTCCGACCCGGTGAGCTCTCCCTTGCAACCGCCTGTGCAAGTTCGAATTGGCTGACCATGACATAGAATTGCTCATCGTCTCCGCGATATGCAGCAGCTGCCATATGTTGTTGTCACCAACCCCCACATAAACGATGTATACAACCTATACTACGAAGCGTTCGACTCCTTTCGAAATGTCCGCGAGGTCAAGACTCTGGAGGACAACGACCGACTCTGCGAGGTGATCAGCAGCAATCTCAAGAAGCACCTGACAGTCATACCCAAGCTAGCAATGGGCATCCTCGAATGCGAAGGGTTGGTAGACGCAAAAGAGATGGACAAGTTCATGAATACCATTCTGAAATCCGTAAGAATACTCGATCGACTTGTTGAACGGACTTATAGCTTACTAGGTTTTTTACAGAGGATATCCCGCCGTGTCATTGCAGAACAGCATCTCTCTCTCACAGAAACGTACAACTCGCCAAACTTCTCACCTGGCGCAAAGCTTTCCGAGTCCGACTTCATAGGCGAGGTTTTCGTCAAGTGCAATGCGAAGGACGCCATCGAGACATGCGCAAAAGCCATACACAAGATCGCCAAGTCTACCAACCCACCCGATGTCAAGATCCCAGAAATCAAGATCGAGGGCCACCTGGACACCAGTTTTCCCTATATCCTCAGCCACCTGGAATACATCATTGGGGAGCTTCTTCGCAACTCCGTGCAGGCCGTCATCGACCGTCACCGCGAGCACGGCGACCCAAACACGGACCCCCCGCCAATCGAGGTAACCGTAGCTGAGGCGCCCCAACACGCTACAATCAGGATATCGGACCGTGGCGGAGGCATCCCTCGGGAGGAACTCCCCTACCTGTGGGCTTTCAGCAAAGGCCCGCTAAGCAAGCAGCGCCTGAAGAACCTCGGCAAAGTGCCCAAGATGGCTGCCACCCTCCAGGAACTCCACGTAGAGGAGGAGCTGGGTCGTGCGGATCTGAAAACCCCGCCTTACCAGAGCTCCTTGACGTCCCTCACGAGCCGGCCGCCTGACCTGCGTCTGGGGATGGGGCTACCGCTAAGCCGTGTCTATGCTGAGTACTGGGCCGGGAGCCTTGAGCTTCATAGCTTGGAGGGTTACGGTGTTGATGCCTTTTTGCAGATATCCAGGCTCGGTAATAAGAACGAGCAGCTCGCAACTAGGGCAACGATGGACTCTGTGTAAGGGCGTCATCTTCTACATCCCCCACTCACGTCTATTCGCGGCTACATTTTGTTTCTATTTCTAAATAAGGAGTCAAGGCTGATGCTTGGATAAATGATTTCTCTGGATGAAGGTAAATAAGGAAGGGTCAATCTTGTCTTGGGTTCGAGGGTGATATTGGATTTTTCATGATGCAATGCATAGCTTCTCATATAACTTGACACCGCGGAAATACACAGGATAATCATCGCAAGGAATGAATCCTCGTCGTTGTAGAAAAAGTTACTAAATTGAGAAAGTGTGAGGTTGATGAATTACATCACGAAACTAAGATATAGCTAGCTGCGAGTAAAAAGGAGTAATAAAAATAATATGGCATGACTATCAAAACTTCCAAAAATTACCACCAAGAGGCCCGGCTCTGCTCGTTCGTTCTAGGGAGCCCTGAACTTCGTAAAACGCAACTTTACGTCTGTTTCTTGACACGCCTTTCTAGAGACAATGAGAACCGAGGAAATGGTGATGACTACCCGCTTGACCATTAGAGCCATGAGATTATACGTTAGTCCCAGGGCACAGGCGCCAAGAATATCTCTCACAATTCGTCCTCGTAATGGTATTCTTGACCCTTTCATTTTCAACTCCGAAACCCCGAACAGGAGTGGCAGGCGTGAAACAACCGCTGAAAACTGCTAAACAGCAGTAAATGAGATGATAAATGAGAATCTATCGGCGTCCGTGACTGCGGACTGCGGCGCCCTGCATGTTCTCCAACTCGGCCTCCAATTGCTTAATTTGCGAGTGGGTTTGCTCGAGATCCTTGTTGAGGCGGTCGCGCTCGGCAATGAGCTTCTGCTCCCACTGGCGGAAGCGCTGTTCTTCGATCTTGACCTGTTCGGTGAAGCGCTTGCGGAGAGCCTCTTCTTCCTCCTTGAACTTGGGGTTGTCGAGCTTGCGTGGGCGGGCCTCGCCGAACTTGCGAGTCTCCATCTGCTGGGCGCGGTAGGCCTCGTAGTGCAGCTCCTCGGTGGTGTGAATGAGGTCGAGCATGTGGGTTCGGATCAGGATCGATCGCAGCTTCTTGAAGTCGCAGTGGTCCTCGTTCTCAACCTCGGCAACACCCCACGAGTATTGACGTCCCTTGACGACACGGCCATCAGCGCTCTTAACATCCTTCTCGGAGCCAATCACGGCGAATGGCATAGCCGCCATCAGGCTGCGCGCGTGCTGAGCGGCAGCTTCGTCATCCTCCTCAATGGGGGGCTGGTAGATCTTGATGTTCTGGGCTTCAATAACGGAGATGATCTGCATATTGGGTCAGCATATCCTGAGAAGAGTACAGTCAAATGGTCCCTTTCCAACTAACTCTCTGCTTGAACTTGGCCAGGTCGGAGGGGCTGAGGGTGTCGGCCTTGGCAATGACGGGGATGAGGTTGACACGAGAGCACAGGCGCTTCATGACCTCAATGTCCAGGGGCTTCAGGGTGTGTCCGGTAGGGCGGATGAAGTACAGGCAGGCGTGAACACGGAGGTCGATCTTGTCCTGGCGGCGAGGCTGCTGCTCCTGAAGCATGTAAGACTCGTGCTGGTCGTCGAGGAATTCGATAATGGGCATCCACGAGTCGCGGTTATTTACGTAGTCGCCGAATCCGGGAGTGTCAATGACGGTCAGGCGGACTGTTGATCAGGAGTTACCGTGTTAGCCATTCCGCCTCTATATTGACAACATGCACGAGATGGAAGGGATCTCTCTTTGAGAAGGAAATGGTGGGTATTTGCTCTTACCCTTGAAGAACTTCTCTTCCAGCTCAGCCTTGGTGATCTCAATCTCCACAGTCTTGTCAACCTGCTTCTGGTGGCGGCGCTTGTGGTCGGCATAGTTCTTGATGGTGGTAGAGAACAGGGTGTTGATGAAAGTGGTCTTTCCCAGGCCAGACTCTCCAGCAACCTAATATTCGAAATATAGTTAACATCTGTAAATCTGCCGACGGGTACGATAATTTGCTGCATCTCTGTAGCAAGCTGGACGTACCATGATGGTGAAGCTAGCACCACGCTTCGCAACAATCTTGTGGCGCTGGTTGGGCAGGTTGGCAATGCCAATCGGTGAGGCGCTCTCTGAAGCCATGGCGAGTATGGGTGTCTAACGCGACGGGCGGACCAAATTACAGCTGAGTCTAATCCAAAGAAAACAAAGGGTATCGGGACAGCACTGCAGGTGGAAGCAGTGGTGAACAATTGAGGTAACGCGGGTGGGTGATGTGAGCGGTGGGTTGGATTAGGAGGAGCTCGCAACTTTGCTGTCTGGGAATCAGTCAGGGGAACGAAGGGATGGATTGGATGGCTCCAAATTTCCTGCCTCAACCAGTTGCTGGCTGCCCTGAGCTGGGGACATGGATGGGGAGGTGCAAGTACCCTGCCAGCGGGGTGCCGCTGATTGGCTAAGTGGCACTCAGGGACGCTGGCAGGTGAGCACGGACCTCTTGTCGACTCCTTTTCCTCCCCGTCTGGCCTGAGTGAGGAACGTTGGATCAAAAAACCGCCTGGCCGTTTGCGGCCTAGAGGACGGGCCCTGGATCAACTAATCTCCCGCGCCTACTTCTGACTGCCGGATAACCTGTAGCTCCAGATTAGGACTGGCTTGGCTGGATAGCGATAAGCCCAGAGACCCGCTAAAAAAATCATCTGCACGCCGATAAGAAAGCATTTCAATTTTGTTGGCGATCCGGCGCAGGCCTCTGATATCTGAATGTATATGTGATGATGATGGCCGGCAGGTGACCATGAAGACCGATTTCAAGGTATGATATGAGCAATTGATTTGTACCCAATGATGTAATTCCGAACAGTAATTGCTGACAACTTCTTTCTGGAATAGTTCTCGAACTTGCTGGGCACAGTCTACTGCCAGGGCAACCTGCTCTTCAGCCCAGATGGCACCCATCTGTTCTCCCCAGTCGGTAATCGCGTCACTGTCTTCAACCTAGTCGAGTATGTAATATAATTCCCCTTGGAGGAGAGACCTCGAATACTGATTGAGTTCACAGTAACAAATCCCACACCCTCCCTTTTGCTCATCGCAAGAACATCGCCCGCATCGGCCTCTCTCCCCGCGGCAACCTGCTACTCTCCGTCGACGAGGATGGACATGCCATTCTCACCAATGTCCACCGTCGCATCTCCATCTATCACTTCTCATTCCGATCGCCGGTCACAGCGCTCGCATTCTCCCCCTCCGGCAAGCACTTTGCCGTAGGACTCGGCCGCAAAACCGAGGTCTGGCATGTGCCTTCTACCCCCGACGTAAACACCGAAGGCGTCCTTGATTTTGCGCCCTTTGTACGACATCATACACACACTGGCCATTTCGACGATGTCAAGTTCATCGAATGGTCGAGTGACTCTCGGTTCTTCCTGACAGCCTCGAAAGATTTGACCGCGCGGATATGGAGCTTGGACCCCGAGGACGGATTTGTGCCGACGATTCTGGCGGGCCACAAGCAGGCGGTCATTGGCGCATGGTTCTCAGAGGATCAAGAAACACTCTACACTGTCAGCAAGGACGGAGCCGTGTTCACATGGAAGTACGCCAAGCCCAAGAACCACACGGAGGATGATCGGATGGAAGATGACGACTCCGATATGCGATGGCGGATTGTCGAGAAGCATTATTTCATGCAGGGGAGCGCTCACGTTAGATGCGCGGCCTTTCACCCACGATCAAATCTTCTCGTTGCCGGCTTCTCTAACGGTACATTCGGACTGTACGAGATGCCCGACTTCAACAATATTCATAAATTAAGCATTTCCCAAAACGACATCGACTTCGTCACAATCAACGCGAGTGGGGAGTGGCTTGCTTTCGGTGCTTCCAAGCTCGGCCAGCTTCTGGTCTGGGAATGGCAATCCGAGTCGTATATCCTTAAGCAACAAGGACACTTTGACTCAATGAACTCACTGGTGTATGCGCCAGACGGGCAACGCATAATCACGACTGCAGATGATGGAAAGATCAAAGTGTGGGATATTGAGTCTGGATTTTGCATTGTCACGTTCACCGAGCATACCAGCGGTGTGACAGCCTGCGAATTCACCAAGAAGGGCAACGTCCTGTTCACAGCCAGTCTGGACGGCTCGATACGAGCATGGGATCTCATCAGATACCGGAACTTCCGTACATTTACCGCCCCGACGAGACTATCATTCTCCTGCATGGCCGTTGACCCCAGCGGTGAGGTCGTAGCTGCAGGATCGCTCGACTCGTTCGATATACACATCTGGTCCGTACAGACGGGTCAACTTCTTGACCAGCTTTCCGGCCACGAGGGCCCCGTCTCGGCGCTGGCATTTGCACCAAACGGCAGCTCCTTAGTGAGCGGAAGCTGGGACAGAACAGCCCGCATCTGGTCCATATTCAACCGAACTCAGACGAGCGAGCCCCTGCAGCTCCAGGCAGATGTCCTTGATGTCGCCATCCGACCAGACTCGCTCCAGCTCGCCGTCTCAACCCTCGACGGCCAACTCACCTTCTGGTCATTGTCAGATGCGGAGCAGGTCGCCGGAATGGACGGGAGACGAGACGCCTCCGGTGGCCGTAAGGTATCAGATCGCAGAACCGCCGCCAACGTATCCGGCACCAAGAGCTTCAACACCATCGACTACAGCACCGACGGCAGCTGCCTGATTGCAGGCGGCAACAGCAAGTACATCTGCCTATACTCGGTCAGCACCATGGTGCTCCTCAAGAAGTTCACCGTCAGCGTGAACCTCTCCCTCTCCGGCACCCAAGAGTTCCTCAACAGCAAGCTCCTGACCGAGGCCGGCGCCCTAGCCGAGATCGACCAGCAAGGCGAGGAGTCCGACCGTGAAAACCGCGTCGACAAGAGCCTGCCAGGATCGAAGCGAGGAGGCGATCCCTCCGCCAGGAAGGAATTTGCCGACGTCCGAGTCTCGGGCATTGCCTTCTCGCCCACCGGCACGGCCTTTTGTGCCGCCTCAACCGAAGGCTTGCTGATCTACAGCCTAGACAACACGCTTCAGTTCGACCCGTTCGACCTGAACATGGAGATCACACCCGCATCAACCCTCGCCGTGCTGGAGAATGAAAAGGACTACCTCAAGGCCATCGTCATGGCATTCCGTCTCAACGAGACCGGTCTGATCAAGCGCGTCTTTCAAGCTGTTCCCCCAGCCGATATCTCCCTCCTCGTGGCTAATGTACCGACCGTGTATGCGCCTCGGCTGCTACGCTTCGTGGCCGCCCAGACCGAGGAGTCACCCCATATCGAGTTCTGCCTCCTCTGGATCAAGGCCCTCGTCGACAAGCACGGCGCCTGGCTGAGCGCGAACCGGGGCAAGCTCGATGTGGAGCTGCGCGTCGTGTCGCGGGCCATTGCGCGGATGAGAGACGAGATCCGGAGAATGGCTGACGAGAACGTGTACATGGTTGACTACCTGATCAGCCAGGCTGATCAGGGGGCTGTGGAGAAGAAGGGGTCATCGCATCTAAGTCTCGAGAATGGGGCGGAGAAGATGCTATTAGATGTGAATGACCAGGGTGAATCTGAAGAGGGATCTGACGACGATGAAGGATGGATGGGTCTAGAATAAGCAAAATTCGCATGAGATTTTATAGTACATAAAAGAATACATTGAATACCCAAAGCCCCCCAAGGTCCCCCCGTATACTGCCATCTCAAATTTCCCTTCCAACTCTACCCACATCAGGTCCGTTGAGGAACGTCCTCCCAAGCCTGCTCAAACCCAGCCGACCGCACCCACTGGCTCGGCTGGCCCTCGACGCCATCAAGCAGCAAGTAATGCATCCTCAACCAATCATCGTCCGTCTGAATCCGCATCCAGTCCTTGCCCACGTACGGCTTCGATACCTCCTGCCCAATCAACATGGCCCGAACAACCTTGATCGTGTGCCCGTCGTCCCGGATGACGTGGAACCTGGGCAGCAGCTCCCGGGAGTGGGAGACGGGCTTCTGATCCCTCGCGGGCATGTACGTTCTCAGGATATCCGCGTGCAGTGGTGGGCAGCCGCGGGCAATGTACTGAACCAGGTCGAGGCGCATCTTCCACTCCAAAAGACGGACTTTTGTCTGCGTTGGAATCCACTTCTGCTTGTTGAATGTGAGGAAGATTGGAGCCGAGTTGAGATGATGTCTGGCACATAAGATTAGGCAGTCAGTGTCTTAATCCAGACCACAATATCCTAAGCCAGGTAACACAAGGGGGAGAGAAAGACTCACATGAGGAAAAAGTCGAACTTTGGAATATGAGGCGGATGCCACGCCGCAGCCGCAGCAACATAAGCCGCCGTGTGCAACATCTCGACGGTCCGCTCCTCAAGCTCCTCCTCCCTCACCTTGATCCTGGCCATGAGATTGACAGCTTCCTGGGGAGCCCTCGCCAGAACCCCATCGTATACACGGTTCGGATCGTCCCAGTGAGCACTATGGACGAGCTTCCTGCTCTCCGCGCTCCGGATATTCTCAAACAGTGACGCAAAGGGCACACGCGTCGGCGGATGATTCCGCTGGTTGGCCGCCGCCTCGGCCTTGCTCATCGCCTCGCCGAGCCTGTCATTGTGGACGGCAGCCTGGGCGAGGGCCTCGGCGATGATCGCGGGCTGCTCCCACTCCAGGCCGAACATGAGCTGGATCATGGGGTGGAGGAAGCCCGAGTAGAGCCGGGAGAAGAGTTGGCGGCTGACGTCGGAGTCGGCAAAGACATACTCGCTGATGACGTCCTGCCAGCCCTTCTTCTCGATCTCACGCTCGAAGAACTCGAGGAAGGACGAATATTGCGTGCCGCGGGAGAAGTATTTGGGGGCTGCATTAGTATAATCTGCTTCAAGCTCCTCGACAACCTGGGTCTTTGGTGGCCTGGCTCGGATTTGATAGGTGGCATTGGTGTCGTACGCCACCTGAAGATGGTCGGAACTGGCGCCAGTGCCATATAGAGTCAAGAGATGGTGCGGAATCTGCAATATGTTAGCTATTCGTTGGTTTCATTTGGACTCTCAGGCTCGTGAGACATGGTGAAGGCAACGTCTACATACATGATTATGGAACCCTTCTGCGTTATAGTAGACATGGTGATTCTGAGACCTGTTGTTAGCTAAATCTAGCATTGTAACTTATAAGAAACAGCTACTAGGCAAATTCATTAAGGGCTTCCAGTACCTCGAGATCCTTTTGCAGGAGGTCCGAGACCTTGGCAGCGGTCTCTTCATCCTGCTTAATTGCCAAGATGCCAGACTCGGCCGGCCGAATGTGTACGTGGTGAGCGGTCGCCATGGCAGATATCCCGGTATGGATAGATCTCGCTCGTGCTATAGAATAAACTGCAGGTCGACAGCGACTGGGTTCGAGGCGGGCGGATGCGACTCTTACAAGTCGCGATAGGATCATCTCGACGGTACAACCACACGGCTCACCCGGGACCCCATCCAATATATTTACCTACCTACCTAATCAGCAGCGTGCATGGTGGCACGCGCCAAGCACAAGCAGTGAATCGCGGTGCAGTGCGAGGGGGTGGCAATGACGGGAATATGGCTGGCCAATGGCAGCTGGATGGATGAGGTGGTAGGTTGGTCGCTGGCGGCTTGAAGGGGAAATTCGGTGCTCAACACCGCATCTTGGGCACATTCCCATTCTGGAGGCCCGTTTTCTGATGTCATGACAGCGTCATTGAACTGCCCAGCAGCGATCGCATTACCAATCAAATCTCAATCAGTGAAACCATGTCAGCACTTCTCATGTTTTCGCGGCCATGAGACGCTATCCTAATTGTGTTATGCATATCCCCAAACTCAGCGACCGATGCCTTAGTATCACCCAACCACACGTAAATTGCAATCAGGCTACCGCCACACGTAATTGTGATAAAACTTTCATGTCAAGCTTAAATAGGTATCTGCGCTGCATCTTTTAGCCACGGAAAGATCAGAGAGAGTTCAGTGAATGATGTCCTAGCCGCATGTGTGCACGGCAAGATGCTAGAACGTCTACTCGATAGACAGCACAGGGACGAACAAACACAAAACATCAAAGGATTGAAAATAGAGGAGGGAATGGATATTGAAAGTGTAGGTAATTGATCCATGTAAATCTATCTGAAAAAGCTGAAGTCCCAAAAGCTATCTCCTTTTCAAAAGTGTATATACTCGCATGCATTAAACAAAAATAAAAGTCATCAATGCCCATCGGGAATCATCTTTTTTTTCCGGTCATCATCTCATCTCATCTCGTCATCTAAGCCTTGCGCTTCTTGCTGGCGGGCTCGGCCTTGTCGTCCTCCTCCATCTCCTCATCCTCGTCGTCCAGGTCCTCGAACTCGCTCAGGATATCATCTTCCTGGGATTGCACTAGAAATGGGTCAGCCAAAGTTCAAAATACACGCAATTTGGGTGCTGAAGAAAGACTTACGGTAGAGCTTGATGGCATCAGGCCAAATGTCCTCAGCAATGCAGAGAGCCTGGTCATCAGCAGCGGGGTAGGGCTCGTACTCGTAGGCCTTGTCGAACAGGTCATCCTCGTCCTCCTCATCCTCCTCCATCTCGTCGTCCTCTACAGGCTTGCCGGCCTTGCGGAGCTGGCGCTTCTCCTCCTCCTTCTTGAGGGACTCCTTGTGCTCCTCCTCGGTGATGCGGGGACCACGGAAGGCGAACCAGGTGAAGAAGCTCAGGTCACCCAGGGGGGTGTCCTCAATCTTCTTCTTGAGCTCCTTCTTGGCATCGGTCTCCTCGTCAGCCTTGCCGGCCTTCTCCTCAGCGTGGACCTTGAGGACGAGGTCGGTCAGGCCGTTGGTCAGGTCCTTGCCGGGCTTCCAGTGGATCTTGACGGGCTCCGAGACGAGGCCGGAGACGTCGCCCTTGGGGGACTGGCGGTAGATGAACTTCTTCTCCAGGACCGAGTCCTCAAAGAATGCGTTCTCCTCAAACTCCCACTTGATGGAGAAGCTGCGAGGGTCACCCTCGGGCAGGTCAAAGCGGGTGACGAACAGGTTCTTGAGGGACAGGAGGAGCTCGCCATCGGTCTCCTTGAAAGCGTGCTCAAACTCCTCGGGGGCGACCTCGAAGACGCTGTTCCAGAAGTGGGGGATATCGGCGATGATCTTCTCACGCTTCACGTAGAGGTCCTTGGTGAGCTTGTCCTGGACGCGGGCTGGAAGCGAGCGCAAGTTAGCAAATAACGCCTTCTCAATGCGCCATGATAAGGCGCGCCCTGGATGCGATTGGGCATGAACAATCCATATCTACCCCGCGCACACACGAGATCTTGGGAGGGCCAGAAAAGCACTCACTGAGTTCAAGATCAACCTGCTCGAAGTCATCCTCGAGCTCAGCGAGCTGCTCAAAGGAGACGGGGAGCGAGGGCTTCTCTTCGTCGGCGGACATTGTGAATTGGATACAGCGCAATCTAGCTGGGATTCTTAGGGATAAGGGGAGGTGAAGATGACAAGGAGGGGCTAGATTAGATGTGTGAAGAAAACTTGCGCCGCGATGGTGGGAAGGGCAAGAGCTATTCTTTATATTCCGAGCTCAGATTGCTGGGGAGGATTTGCGCAGGAAGCTTCCTAGCTAGAGCTAAAAGAGGAAGATGGTAGAAGGAAAAAACTGGGCTACGTGCAAATTTTTCCAAGCTGGCAGGCCGGATGGTTGCAATTACATAGCTTATTACTACACACACTACATATTCGCCTTCATACTACCAGAGCTCGTCGATGGCGGGCGGTCAACAAAAAAAAATGAAAAAGAAAAAAAAAATTGGGTTGGTGGTGGGGTAGTTGGGTAGCTCGAGCTGATGTCACTGGGTTCCAGCTTAGAGATCCACCAAGGACCCTCTGTGAGTCCGTGCTCCAGGGGACCTGCATACTGGATTGGCCTAAGCCAGTGGGTAGACAGCGCTCTTGGCCACTGAGAGCCGACGTAATGGGACCGGAGTTTAAGGCGTGCGGAGGGGATCATTACTGAAGATTGGACCCCTCAAGCCCCTCCAGCACCCCACTGAATTCGCCTTGCTCTCATCTCTCAGCGCTGTGACGTTTTGGTTTCCAGCGCAACCACAGAAAGATCCACCATCTCCATCAGCGTACAGTGCCAGCCACCAGAAGGATGATCATCAAGTATGGATGCCTGTGGCGCTCCTCCGTCCTAATTGCATCAAATAGGTAGGTACTTTAACAGACAATAATCAATTCGACAAGTCACGGCTCCTGGTGTTGATTCACACTTGCCGTTCATTGTCTCTCCCATGTCTTGTGAAGAGTATTGTCCGAAGAGCGGGTCATCTGATCACCCATTCACTCACTTACACCTCACCTGCCGCTTTCATTGACTCCATCCAACAATGAGAGAAGACTAGCTGCCTAGAATTGGGTTGATGGTAAACCGTGACCTGCACTCAATCCATAAATCACCGCCGATGTGACTCTTCCTCAATTGTCTCTAAATACAACTCACTGTTTCTCGCAGCTAGCAATCTCATCTCTCGCTTTCACCCACATCATCACTCAGAGTAGTCTAGTTTCCTTAGGGAAACTATCAATCGCAGCTGTCCGCCGAGATCAGTTGCCAGAGACCCAATCGCCACCAACGCAAGAAAACATCCCCTCTTGTATACAGCCAGCCATGTCCCTCCTCGAGCGGAACATCAAGCTCGAGGTCGCCGTCTTCTCCGCCGGCTGCGCTCTCAAAGCCCAGCTGCTAGATGCCCAGCGCGTGGAGCTCAGCGCCCCCGGCTCGTACCGCCGCGGGGGCCTCACACCACCTCTGGCTGAGGTCCTCGCCGTCAAGGGCGAGCTCAAGATCCCGCTCCGTATCATGATCCGTCCCGTCAGCATCCCCGATGCTCGGTACCCCGGGCGCAAGGATGACTTCGTCTACACAGATGACGAGTTCACCCGGATGCTATACGACATCATCGAGTTCAAGAACTGCGGCGCAATGGACCTCATGCGAGGAGACGGGTTCGTCTTCGGCATCCTGAAGGAGAGGGATGAAAAGCCAAAAGGAGGCGACGACGACGACGACGGCATTGCCCCGGCCAAGGGCGCAAGGCTCGAGGTGGACAAGGAGCGCTGCTCGATCCTCGTCGAGACAGCCCGGCCGTACCCCTGCGTCTTCCACCGCGCCTTCGACCCCATCGCCCAGACGGACGAGTACTGGAAGCAGGGCCTCGACGACCTGCTCGAGTGTAAGTTTGACAGCCTCCTGACCTCCGGCGGCCCGGAATCGCACACAGACTCCCAGAAACTGCGTAGCATGATCGATCACGCCCTCCCGGATCTCGAGATCACCGTCGGGGGCGGCGTCCGGTCCACCAACACCGCTCAATTGATTACCGAACTTGGCGCCCACTGCACCAAGGACATCTGGCTCCATTCCTCGTGTCTCGTCCCCAAGGGGCCCTTCGAGGCGCAGAAGGAAGCCGTCGATCCCGACCTGCTTAGAGATCTTCTCGTGGTCATCAATCAATTGCGGCAAAAGTAGAGCAGTCCTGCCGTCCATTGGTTGGAGCATTACGGACCGGATTATTCTGAAGATAGAGGCAACGGTATGGAACGCCCACCCGAGGGGCACCAAGAGCGTTGTCTAGAGTGATAAAAAGTATTGAGTTTCCATGATCTTCTGACTTGTTATTTTCTCTGAGCTTCTCTTTTCACTTATCTACTCGGTCGGTAGGCAGGGAAATTGCTGATCGGCAAGCAGCCGCGCGAGAACTTCTTCCACAGTTTACCTACAGAGGTGGCCATGTTGCCCAGTGGTATATCAGGAGTAGCCCAGCTATTGTCTCTGCTCCGTTTGCTAAACCTAGGAACTCATATAGGATTTGATCATTGTTGCCTACGAGGCCCTCGGATACCAAATATATTCGCTGATCAGTAGACACTCTTCAAACCAACTTGTCCATTGTCCGTGAACAAAGTGTGTAGCACCCAGGTAAGCAGAATTGCGAGCGACTGTTATGAAAGGTGAAAGCCACCAGCATTCAGTCCATACATCATATCACTCAATTTCACTGTAGAACGAAAAAAGGTGCAATATCTAATTAATTATTCAAAATTAGGCATGGCTTCATGCTTCATACTTCATACTCTCTACAGCATACAAGGACTGGGTATTAAAAGACAAATTAGTTCTTGGCAGGGCAGTCCTCGCCGTTCCCAGCATCGCTCTTGCCAAGTCCAAGACAGTTGGCAATCTTGTAGAAGATGTCAATGTTGTTGTAAGTACCGGAGAAGGTATCCTGGCAAGGGCCGCGAGCGTAGACGGCGACATCAGTCAGAGAGTGGACACCCTGGGCCTCACTGGTAGGCAGGGTTCCGTTGACCACGAAACCGTTGACGGAATCCTTACCATCGGCATAGTATTCGCTACCGATCTTGGAAGCAGGAGTACGGGGAGCAGCCTTGTGGACCTTGTAGTCCTCACGGTGGTCGGGCATGGCACCGAAACCAGCAGCGATGGCGTAGCGAGGCTCCCAGTTGGCCGGGAAGCTGGCGCCAGTGCCGTAGTTAACACCATCAACAGGGTTGGTGTACTGGGACTGACCAGACTCGCGGTAGACACCAACGGCGCGGCGCTTGCCACGGTTGTCCTGCTGCTCAGAGAGGTACTTGGTATCGGCAGAACCCCAAACATCGAAACCGTGACCGTGGTCAGCGGTGATGAGGACAAGGGTGTCCTCGAGGATACCAAGCTCCTTGAGCTTGTCGGTAGTAGCACGGACGGCCTGGTCAAGCTCGAGAAGATCACCAAGAGCACGGTCGTAGTCGAGAGCGTGCATCTGCTTGTCGATGGAAGCAGCCTCGGACATGAGGAAGAAACCCTTGTCACCACCACGGTTGGCAAGAATCTCAACAGCCTTGACGGTCATATCGGTGAGGCCGGGGAGATCAAGAGCGGGGTCCTTGCTACCGTTAGGGTGGTTCTTGAAGGCCTTGAGGTTGTCCTTGTAGACGTTGCGGTCGAGCCAGACAGGCATGTGGCTCTGGCAGAAGATACCGAGTGCCTTCTCCTTGTTGCCAAGAGCCAGAAGAGAGGTCTTGTTGGTGCTGACGCTGTAGTTCTTCTTGGCAAACTCGGCATAGTAGTCCTTGCCCTGGTAAGAGGCAGAACTGGGGACGAACTGGTCGGCACCGCCACCGAAGAAGACATCAGGACCGTTCTGGGAGGTCCAGCTGTAGTTGGTCATGCCGTTAAGGGCCTGGTCAATGAGAGCACCGTACTGGTAACGGTCACGGCTGTGGCCGGTAAGAGCAGCGGGAGTAGCATCAGACATCATGGCAGTGGAGACAGCACCCCAGGCACCACGCTGTTTACTACGTTAGTATCATGTTTAAATGGCAACTGTGAAATGTCTACTGCAAGGCACTTCTGGGCTAGATTGAGGGCACTCACGCGAACACGGCGGAAGATCTCAACAATGGTCTCGACCTTGGGGTCATCAAAGGGAGACTTGGAGGAGTCGACGTAAACACCCATGGCGTTAACAGTGCTCTTGTGGCCAGTGTAAAGAGCAGAGGCGGAGTTGGCAGAGTCGGTGATGTAGCTGTCGAGGGAGTGGGTCATCTGGTGACCGATGATGGGGAACTCGTCAAGCTTGAGCTTGCTCTGGTACTTGCCATTGATGGCCTTGTGTCCCAGCAGACGGGCGGCGGTGATCTTCAGGTCTGGTTAGCAACATGAATCCCCGGGGGCTATTGATCGCATTGGGGTGGTTAAGAAAACATACCATGTTAGTGGTCATGCCATCGCCAATGAAGAGGACGACGTTCTTAGCCTTCTTGTCCTGGACAAGCTCACGGACAGTCCAGGTAGCAGTGGTCTTCTCGCCACTGTAGTATTCGAGGGTGACGGTGTAAGTGCCAGGCTCGTAGAGAGCGAGCTTGCGGTAGGCCTTGGAGGCAACATTGACAAGACTGGGCTTCTTGGCGTCCTCGGCGTAGAGATCCTCGTACCAGGTGAAGTTCCACTTCTCCAGCTCGGGGTCCTTGATTCCGAAAGCCGTGGAGAAGTCGCGGGGAGCATCGCTGCCCTTGGCGATGGTCACCTTGAACTGCTCATCGGGCTTGCCGTCGTGGGCAGCCTCGGAGCCGTTGACCGGGGCGTGGACCTCGACACGGAGGTCGAAGAGCTGTCCAGGGAGGAACTCGGACTGGTCTGGGGGCAGGACACAGCCGAGCTTGGGGCAACCACCAAGACGCTGGTAGGTCTGGGCAGAGGCAGAGGCGACGAGGGCCGTCAGAGCGGCGATGTTGTTGAACTTAACCATGATGCTGGCCCAATTGTACACCTGTATGGACTATACAAGATGTGTATGGTTGACAGCAACTGTGAGCAAGATGAGGCGGAAGGAGAAGTGAGACACTGGACGCGGACACGGCGACCCTTTTAAGTGCATCATGCACAGGTAGATCCAGCTAGCCATAAGCACTTCAGAATCAAGCCGGGCCCGAGCCTGCAATAGTGACTCGTGCCAAGGCGATCGAGGGCGTGGACGATCAAGACCGGGAGCTCGCCAAAACAGGAAGCTGGTTTCTTTCCATGGCCCCGAGAAATTGGGCAAAATCAATCCTGGCGACGCAGCTTGCGAATTGTCCTATCATTGAGTTTGTGGAGGGTGGACACCCTCCATCGCGGACGGGAGCGCCAATGTAACTCTAACCCTTCATCGTCGTGGATGGGTGCACGTGTTGTGCATTAGCAGGGACGTGGGACCGCTGGACAAAAGAACGCAAAGATATGCGGGCAGCAGAGCGGTCCACCTGGGGCGACATCTGCGTTCGAGCTGACAGGGAACGTGCAGTCCGTGGGATTGTGATGGAGAGAGACATGCGGGCTGCTGCTCGCAGTATTATACATCTTCAGCTGTCCATAAAGGTTCTCTTTTAGTGATATTGGATGCTGCATGTAGGTCTACGGGCCGGTCGGTGCTACCTTCCTAGTTACAGCAGCGTACATACTTCTACGGCGATCCAAAGACTCCAAGGCAGGAGCCTCCATGGCGGGCATCTGCCGGGCACGATACCTTCAGCTCGTGGAGCAAGCTGGGTACATGGGCATAGTACCTTGCCGGAATATCCCACCCGTCTGCAGCCAAGGAAGACTGTCGTTGCCTCTGGTTGCCCTCTGGGAAAATGCAACGAATGCACGAAAAAAAAGCCTGCCGCTCCTCTCCCCAGCCAACAACAACAGGCCACCGCCAACGCCGTCATCTTCTGTGGCCCAGAAGTTCCTGTAACTGTCCAGGATTGTGCAAGCTTAATTTGGCTCGGCACGGGAAACCGACTCGTTCCCCCCCGCCAAGGCTACCCCGTGCTCGATCTTGCCATTCCCATTGGTCGAAAGCCCCCGGCTGACTTACAGTGGGGAGATTAGCTTCGCCTCTCAAACCTCCAGCCCAGATCCCTCGATGACGGATATGTCAGTGCATGGGAGAGCCGGCTACGCTTCACCCTACCCAGGCCCTAGTCGCCAGGCCGGCCGTAAACTTACTGGCTTTATTTGCTGGTCCGCGTCTATCGATATTTCGCCTCGTTGAGGGGAACAGTGCCAGAGTCCAGATTACTATCTAACTCATCGCCTTGGGGTCAGGGAGGCCTTGAGTTCGTCCTTGTGTCGCGACGTGGCCTCGACTATGCCCTCCTTTTTTCGACTGCTATGTTGGTTAAATTGCAGTGACAGGATCATCGTAAGGCTTGCGCGCGGATACGTGGAAGGAATGCGGCTTGGCAGGAGTCCAGTCAGGCAATATGCATATAACTAACCATCTACCTAAGCTTCTAGAAAAGCCCCAGTTAGAGGTGGCTAGCCCGATCGGCCCCATCAACTGTCTGCAACCTCGTCCCACGGCAGGGACCCGTTGCTGGTAGTGCCAAAGGCTTTATTGATTACTGGTCTTTCACGCGATACCCTTCTAAGCCAGAGGCTGGCCATCAGGCCTAGCAACCTCGTGCGGCTTCTCCGTCCCCTCGGCTCCAGAATTACTGTTGTTATTCAGGTCCTGCCAGGTTCGCGGGTTATATTTTTCTTGATGGTGCTCGCTCTTGAAGTGGTATCCTCTGGCTCGAGGTCTCTCGCCAGTGCCCGCCGGTATTTCCGAGTCGTACACTGTGGCGAACTCCTGGACCAGCGCCTCAAACTCCTCAGGTCCCTGGGCGAGTGCCTCGCGGATACCTTTGAAGAACTCAGTGAGAACGTGGTGGTTGTGGATCTGGAGCAGGGTCCATCCTAGCATTTCCTTGGCATTGAGCAGGTGGTTGACGAAAGCCCTGTGGTGCTTCTGGCACGCATAGCACGTGCAAGATTCAACCAGGGGTGCTAGGGATGTTTGGTGTTCTAAAGACCACATGTTCGTGCCAAGCGGCTGTATTCCCGTAGCGATCTTTGGAGCCGGGAAGCTAAAAGTGAGAGCCACGCCAGCATCGGAGACATTGTTGACAAACGGTACCAAGCAAATGTCGATACCCAGAGATATTTGTCGCAAAATGTCTTGCGGGTTCCCGGGGGGGTCGAGGGACAGTTTGGGTAGGTGGCCGAACTTGAAAGCACTAAGTTCCGGTATCAAGTTGACGTCGTATACTGCAAGACCAGAGATGTCGTCCAACACCTCTTCTGCAAGATGTCGTAGATAGGTCCATTGGATTTTCCACTCTACTGGTATTAGCGGGGCAAAGATGCAAGATTCCGGCACCTTGGAGTCTGTTTGTGTGCCCGCTTTCAACAGGCCAAGGAACTGGTCTAGCCAATCCTCGGTCCGCTCTGTCATTCTAAGTTGCTTCTTTGCAGCTGGTGCTTGACTGGAATGGAGAAGGTCGGCTGGGCCAACCACCACATCTGGCTTCAGCTTTCTTGCGGCCTCGGCATATTCCGCAATCGAGATGCTACGGAAGCCCGTGGAGGTGAAAATGGCAAGCAGCTTGGAGGTGTTGCCCGAAGGTGCTGTGACGGCAGGACATCTCCTCGCGGCCAGGATTGTAGGTATTTCCTGTGGAAAGGCCGTGAAGGCATGGAGTGGCCGCGATTCTTCGCCCTCGCCCTCGATCTCGTAGATGGCTGCTTTGGGCTTTTCAATAACTACATCTGCGTCAGTGGGAGGCCTGGCTCTAGGGTTGGGAGAGACCTACAGTCTTCGAGCGCCATATAGGTCGAGCTGAGGTCGGTATGCCTCGTCACGTTATCGGGCGTTAGATGAGGGACAGCACCACGTGAAGCTACACTGGTAAAATTGGGCGTCTCGACTACTTTCCGGCCTGGCAGAGCCAGCTGACCCAGTCTCGCAGAAGTACCGTCGCCCACAGCGGCGCTCAGAATCTTGAATATTCTCCGTGATGCCATATCTGGATGTTCACAGCTTCCGTCGTCTTGTGTCATCTTGGCATGGTTCTCTTGGACCGTGAGAAGATCAAGACCCAGGGCTTAGGCAACAAGGAAGTCGAGTGGTTGAAAAAGCTAAACAGTCGTCCTTGCCCAAGTTGAAGCCAGGATAAGTTATTTACACAAGTCTGTGTAGGCTCCTGTTACAGGAGTTTGAGACAATGTTTCTGCTTTTACAATTTGTAGATATCACAAAATGTCTTGTCCGCTGACAGCTGAGCAGGGCTTATGACAGCCCCAAATGCAAGTGGTGTAAAGACGCTACAGTACAACGTACAGTGTCAGAAGATTTTTTCGACTGTCCACCCGAAGTACTACCGCCGTCAGGGGCCTAGATCGCTGTAGATCAGCTTATCTTATCACGTTATCGATACGAAGACGCTTCTGTCATGGAGTTTCACAATCTCTGCGTTGCATGTACGACACTCATAGGGCAAAACCATAATGCTTTCTTTCTGGCTGTGTCGAATCCTCTTGTGTCCATCTGAACCGTCTGCTCTCGCCAGCACGTCGTCATTTCATATTCCTACCTACCTAACCATGAGAGCTTATGCAGGGACCTACTGTGGAGGCATTGTGGATGTCAGCGCCGGAGAGCTGGCCAATTATGCCTCAGCACTGACCAACGTTGGCAGAAGTAAGACAGCCAGTTGCTAAGAAACGAATCAGGTGTCACTCTCGCGCGGCACGAGATGGATTGTTACACAGAACGAAAGGCTGCTTCGAGATGATATGAAATAAGCCGCCCACCCTCTAACAAAGATCTAGCAAAATGGCAAATTCGATCATCGCAGCCTCAATTCTTATGCCGCCGAATCAGTCCATCTCTGCCCTGACTCTCACCCCGCCAAGGCTTATCAAATCCCCACCAGAGCGGATTTATTGGTTGCATCCCGCTAAGTCCAGCCTTCCAGGGCAGGTAGATCCCCGACTGGGCTGTGCCTCGACTGCCGCTGGGCAATTAGTAGTCTCCCAGTTCTAGGTTTGCGCTCTAGGTTTACCCTCTAGGTTCGATTTCTCAGCAGGATGGTTGTCTATCGCGATGAAGAGAACCAACCACTCATGACCGACATAGAACGACTCGACAGCGACGCCGCTATCACCGCCCAGCGCGGTGATGCCACTCCCAATGCGAATGTCGCTGACCAGAGCGATGCGGCTCATCCGGATGCGCCGCTCGATCATGTCAACACCACCAACAACCACAATTCCGCCATCGCTGCCACTCCTGGCGAGGACAGGGCCAGTGTGCCGCTTGAAATAGACCACGACGACGCCAACAACAACAGCGGCACTTCCACGCCGCGATTCCTCCAGGACGAGAGCACATGGAAGCATTGGAAGTGGGTTCCGTATCCCGTCCGCCGGGTCTTCAAGACCGTCGCCAAATGGTCCCGCGGCCCCGTTAGCCCTCAACCGTATCGCATACGGCCCTTCTTCCCAGCCGTGCAAGAATATCCCCTTCGCCTAGCCGACCGCTTCCTGGCTGGTCACAAGCGCCGCTTCTGGGTCCTCTTCTTCTACTTTTCAATCTGGCTCGTCGCCTTTGTGCTGCTCAAGAGGCAGGAGACCCTGTCAAGCAGCATCCCAGACTGGGGCGAACCCCAGAACATCGGCTGCGGTGTCTCGTTCTGGTCCGCTGATAACGGCTGCAATGTCAATGGTAATGACTGCCGCCCTTTCAATGACAGCGGCTTCCCCTTCCGCTGCTCGGCACATTGCACCAGCTACAAGGTTCTGAACCCCCGGGCGGTTGGCGACCAAGAGATCGTATACCGGCCCTTCATCATCGGTGGCCCTTCGAGCAACGACCAAAGTATCAGCGACGCCATATACCGCGGCGACTCCTACATCTGTGGCTCTGCCATCCACGCTGGCCTTTTCTCAAACGAGGAGGGCGGTTGTGGTATTGTGAAACTCGTCGGTGAACACCATGATTACATCGCCAGCGACCGGAACGGCATCTCGAGCATCGGGTTCGACTCGTATTTCCCTCTGTCTTACGAATTTGTTCCCGATATCAAGTGCGCAGCAACCGACATGCGCTGGTCGATCCTCGCCTTGGGTGTCGTCTTCACCTCGATCCTATCCCTCTTCACCTCTTCGCCGGCTCTCTTCTTCTTCCCCAACTTTGTCGGCATCTTTTGGACTACTGGCATGTCCACCGACCCTCCAAATATAAGGGTCGTGGCCGCGCTCTTCTCCAATATATCAGGGAAATTCCTACCAGCCATGTTTGTCGCATGGGTCATGTTTGACAAAATGGGTGTTCGCCGCACACTCGGCAAACTGACTGCCCAGATTGAAAAGACAGTCCTCTGGCTTGGCCCCTGCTGGGTTGGTGCCTTGAATAACTACACACTCAGTTTCATCCCTATCCAGAGGCTCAATGCCCACGACCTTCAGCAACAGCCCGGCGCTAAGGCTGCATTGGCCATAATTATTATGATCTTGGTCGTCATCGCCGGGTTCCAGGTCTGGTATTTCCGCGAAGAAGGTCGCTTCCTCAAATACATCAAGCTCTACGCCTTGTTCATCGGCAGCATCGTCATCTTCCTCCTCATCCCTGGTCTCAACTTACGACTCCACCACTACATCCTGGCTCTGCTACTATTGCCCGGAACGAGCCTGCAGACCCGCCCATCTCTCATCTACCAGGGCCTTCTCGTTGGGTTGTTCATCAATGGCGTTGCGCGATGGGGATTCGACCCAGTGCTGCAGACCTCAGCCGCGCTCCGAGGGGACGCCCCCCTCGGCTCGGCACTCCCCACCATTCTTCCCCCAGTCATCCAAATGGCGGGTTCCAGCACCGGCAGCTCCAACATCACGTTCTCGTGGGAGCCAACCAATGACCGCGAGATTGACGGTGTCAGCATTCTCGTTAACGATGTTGAACGCTTCCGCACCTATTTTGAAGATAGCGAGGACCACGAGGCTACCTTCACCTGGACCAGGGAGGCCGATCTGGGCATGCCCGAGTACTTTCGATTTGCGTTCGTGACGGGGAGTGTGAGCGGCGACTATACCAAGGCTGGGACTTGGACAAAGGATGGGGGTTGGATTGAGATGGGCCCCGGCCCGTCCAAGGCCAAAGTACGAAGTTTAGATGGTAGTGAGAGATTCCATATCGAGCGATAGACACTTAGATACGTACAGATTTCAAGCTCAGGTAGACATAGAATCACTGTTGCAATGACCATCATCAATCCCATCAGTGAACCATGGACTCCTCGTTAGATGTTGTTTGGGAAGGGCTTAAGTATCCTAATCGCACAGAACAACACATAACGGCGACAAAAGGTATCATGGATCTCTCAATTTGAAGGATCAACTTGAATTCAGAGGCCATCTCGGCACCTTTTATTTTCTTCTAGCTAACGTTTGGGAAGCATTTCTCTAAAGCTCAAAGAGCAAACAGGAAGTTCCCTAATATCGAATGACTAGCCGACGAATGCCATCATCCATTTTCAAATCCACGAACTTTGCAAATCCTGGTAAACCATCCTATCCGTATATACATATGCCCCAGTGGTATCAAAACCATGAAGGGTTCCTTTTTGAAGCGATAGAAGCGATTATAGACCACATCAGTCATTCGAGCGACCAAAACTGTGTCATATCCACATCATCATGATTTGCTTCCAATGGTCGAAATCCAGAGCCTTCCTATTTCAAACGCCAGCCCATCCTATAATTTATCCGGCAAATCAAACTCAATCATGTTCATTCAGTATTCGGGAATGAATATTTTTAAACCCTGTGCTGTTCGTGTAGAGGCACTTCGAGATTTAAATTTCTCCGTCACCAGTATCTCTGAGCAGGTCCCCGTAGAGAGAGTCATTCATGTCATCACCACCCATGTAGGGGTTGACGCTATGATGAGAGTAAGGGTTGGAGTCCAAAACTCGTGGATCAGGTTTCTTCTCGACAGCGGCGAAAATGGAACCATTGGAGTGGACAAGTTCGGATGGTTCACCCTCGGAAAGGGAGTCAACACTGCTCTGTGGGTTGTACGAAACTGCTGCGTCGGCTGCGATAGTAGCGGCAGCACGGGACGCAGCTTGTCGCGATGGAGTAGCAGACTTCCTGCCAACAGTCTTCTGTCGCTTGCTTGGGGTCTCCTGGTCCAATTCGGAGAAGTCTTCAGACTCCTCCTCAATGGCCGAGTCCTCTTCCTTGATGTATCCCTGGCCCCGTTTAGCAGAGGCTCGGGGACGAGAACCCTTCGAGGGAGTTGGCTTGGAAGGTGTACGTTTGGTAGGAGTGCTGGTGACACTTCCACCGGAACCGACAGAAGGAAGGCAGTTGGCAACATCTCCTCCGGCAGCCTTGACCTTGCGAAGGTAGTCTGCATCCTTCTTGATGGTTCTGAATTGAAACTGAATGCCATCAGGAGTTGACTGGCCAAAGTATTGAGAGATATCTAAGAACCAAAAGTTAGCACCAACTCGACATCATCAATGAAAACCCCATGGCCATCCTCGGTAGTATTGAGTCGTTGCGTACTATTTTTCTCAACAGTGGCTTGCGTCTTGGGCAAGTCTTCGACGCTGAGATGTTTCATGTCGAATCCTGCATCCCTTCCGTGGCGAATGATGACCGCCTCAGCACGCAGTCGTCGGAATCGATGATTGAGAGCATCCTCAGTCATATCGCTCCCGAAGGAGGCGACAATCTCTAGGAAGACCAAATATGTCAACCTTGAGTGTCCAGAGTGCAAGAACTGTTGTGATGAAATGGCGACCAAGAAAGCGCGCTTGAAGTAACGCGTGTGGCCAAAGGATAAAAATATCACAAGTAAAGTGCAGTATCTGTAAGCTTACCTTTGTAGTTCCATTTGACTTCAGGATGGGCAGCGACAATAGCCCGAATAAGGCGGGCCTGAGCCTCGTAGGACTTGTAGTTTGCTTTGGCTTGCGGTGCCATGGTGAATGGTCTGCTGGAAATCTCAAATTTTGATCAGTATATAAATTCCACCGATATAGGAGCTTTTGGTTGTTGAGGCTTGCTTCAACAAGTGTCAAGAAGGCATCGGGCTATATGCAGGCAAAGGGGGTGATCAAAATACTCACACTCAAGGATTATGGCAGTTGTTTGAGCTTGGAGGGAGGAGGCGGCAAAATGCTCTCTCTAGCTGCAGCTATCGCAGGTTATTAAGGGATCAGGAAGGGGGCTGCGTTGGGTGGATGCTAGCTTCAACGTGTTGTTTACGCTGAAGGCATGCCGGGATGAAAGAAGGAGGAAGAGGGAGGAAGTGAGAAGGGGCAGGATATATAGGGCCAGCCAAAACAGAGGGAAGGTGCAGCACGTGCGGGCAGAAAGTGAGAACCAGAAGCAGCCGCTGTCGGTCGCTGGCAAGCGCATCCAGCTGTTGACACAATACTCAGCCCGCTCGCAGCTGATTCTCAGATTGCCCCAGCGCTGCGTCAAACACTTGGCCGAGCTCGTCGAAAAGAATCAATTCCGCTACAGTGAAATGCGTACACTTACGGAATAGATAGGTAGTTATTTCTTGGGGTGAGCTGGACTTATCGAGCTATCAGCTAAAGAGATGGTCAGACCTTGTGTTCATAATGAAGAAATGTAGATGAAAGTGTCTGGGCACCAACAAGCAACTTCAGGGCTCAAGATGGGGGGATATCTCAGCGATCCATCACCTTTCACGATTCTTGAGGAAGTTCTGGCAGGAAAGTGAGAAATTGTGCTTCTACCTACTCCTAGCATGTGTATATACTGTGTACAGTTGCGCACCAAGACGGTATATGGCAAAGGCCAACCGTTTCAAGACTGTGAGGGATGGTTTGTTTGTTAGTGCACGACCTGAGTATGTCCAAGGAGTTCTTGATATCTCCGGTGATAACAACAAAGTGATCCAGGAAGCGTCGTTGATTGGGGACCAAATAAATCGACAGCAAGACAGAAGGGCGACACGCCTGTAAACAAACAGTTGGGGTATTGGTTGTAATTCGAATAAAAAAAGATCGCTTGCTTCAGTTGATCAATGTAGATGAGCAGATACCTCTCATGTACGTGAAAGTATAACGGCCACCTGCAAATGGTAATCAAGCAAGGCCGTTGCCAGGTAGCCTCCTGTGGCAAGAAGTCGGGTGGCTGGGACACCAAAACGGGTAATTTAGTGACAGCCAGATAAAGTGCGACTTTTAGGATGCCACAACTCAGGCTCCCATTTAGCTCCGACGTGGTCCTGGCATTTAAAAAACATTCCTGGCTACAAAAATAAATTGCTTAATATCATGGATGTTTTAATTTTGCAGTAAATGCAGAGCTTCCAGATCGCAGAAAGCAATTGAAAGTCTGAACAGAAGTACTCTCATATCACTCCTTAACGCTCCATAACTTGGGAATCAGGGGTTGAATCCAAACCGCGCGTTGTCAGTGACATCACTTGTTGGCTCAGCTTCATTGAATCACTCCATAGGTAGTATCGAACGCCTATCAGCCTGGTGTGCAGATATGGAAGCTTTCCATTTCTCTCTGTTGAGGCAGCGGGTATTTGAATTGAGTTCGCAGCTGCTGAGCTACCATTCCGACGGGAGCTACCCTACAATGCAGCAATTCTATTTCAAGTTACCCATAGTATGCTAAATCATTCAAGTCAATGTTTATTATATTTTTGTCTTTCGATTTTTCCGTCGACATTACTTAACCTGCTCCCCCACAAGCTTTCCCGCAATTGAATCGATGGTATTCCCATTATGGGAGCATGGTCATTTTCCTAAATCCATTGCCTCCAACCCCAAAGAGCATTTGTCCAAAATATCCTATTAAAAATAATCCTAGTCCACACCAATCTACAAATAATAACTCCAAATAAGTCTATATATCTATACCCATGGTTCTCTATTGTAATTCCTTCTCTTTAACATCCACGATCGTCACGGTCGATCGCCTGGGCCTTGTAGGGGTTGAACTTCGAGACGAGCTGTGTTGGCTTTGAATGTAAGAGCGATCCATGCTCGGGCTCTTCCACGATGCATCCACCATCGGATGCTCCTTAACTTCCTGTTCGCCTTCACCGTACATCAGATATTGGACGCCGAGGAAAGCATCACATGCGGCCTGGAACATGCCACAGATTTTGAACACCGGGGGAATCTCGGTAGTTGTGGTGAAGAACCAAAACAGCTTCATCGTGTCACCCAGAATCCAGCTAGCCAAGACTGAGACGCGGAACCCCTTGCAGGACCTTGACTGCGCATTCGCCAGAATCTGAGGAATCGGCAGCGTCGCTTCGATTGAAAGACCCATGACACCGATCGTGGAAGAGTATAAATTGTAAAGTTGAGGCGCTGGTTTCAGAAGCATTTCGCAGGCGAGAAGTCCAGCTGCAAACCAAGCCAAAAACTTCCAATATCTACGGCCAATGCCCTGTTAGTACGAGTTGGTCATGTGATTTATCGGGGTCAAACGAACGGCTTCGGGGAACGCCATTTCCAAAAGTTAAATGGGCGCTCAAAGTCTAGGATGCTGTCTTTGCCGGCTCCCGCGAATGGCAAAGCTGCCTCTCCTCCCTTGGATGAAGGTGGTGGCCTATGGTCGAGCGCGATCTTCAGCAGAGTGGCCTGAACAGCGACCATAAGTATCGACTGCAACAAGAGGCTCGTATCGAAGCGGGCACCAGGCCAATAGCAAATCCTATTTGAACCGGTCAGTTGCGCTCTTCAAGTGTAGATATGAAGCGATGAAGTTCCGGACCTGAGAAAGGAGGCGACCAGCATGATCAATGGAATGTCGAGGGAAAAGCCCGCGCTGGTCCGCTTGCGATGCATCGAGTACGCTTGGTCACCGTAGGACAGGATTGGCGACAGCACCAGGAACACGGGCGCTAACACGCCCGTTAAGGATGTGAGCCAAGACATGATGAGGTGGAGGAGCGCTCGGGGCTCCGGATATCAGCAAACTGGCTGCGCGCGGGCTGCTGGAAAGAGGACGGCTCGGGGAATGGGTCAAGGAGTCGCAGTGAAGGTGGTCGATATCAATGTAACGGAGTCATTAGTCGACAAGAAGCGGTAAGGAGGACGGGATAGATGGGAGCGAAGAAATGAAGCCTGGCTTATGGAAGAAGCGGGAGACGCGAGAAGTATATTACGGATGGACAGGGGTTGAGAAACAGTAGTATGTATAAATAACTGGGCGGGCACAGGCAATTGGCGATGCAACGTATTGGATGTCTCCGATCCCATCCATCCCGAGTCCTATCATTAGCATCACTGGCCCGTGCGCGTGATTAGCTAATACAGAGGTACTTCGCAAAGTACCTGCAGGAAGCGACGCATGAGATCACACTATGCCGCTTTGGTCTGCCCCTCCAAAATTTATCGTCTTCACCCCACCACGACGATAGCAAGAAACTTACAACCTCTTCTTGGTCATGAGGAGAAATTCTCACCGATCTCGGGCCTGGCAAATGACTTACCTTGATCATTGCTTCCATCATCCATAAGCCGTCATGCAGTCTCTTATGTTGGTTGGAGGCTCTGCCTTCACTTCTACCCAGGCAGAGGAGCTGCGCTCGCGCATCAACAAGCAGAGCCCAGACGTTCCCGTTGCCCACTTGCACGGTGTCTGGGTTTACTATGTGCACCTCAAGAGCGACCAGTCTGCTCTCGTAACTGAGAAGCTGGCCAAGTGGCTCGACCTTCCAGACCAGCAGACGAGCTCAATCGCCCCGAGCAATGACACCACCACCACTTTTTATATCTCACCCCGCAATATCTCCCCATGGAGCTCCAAGGGTACCTCCATCTCTCATGTTTGCGGCTTGAAGGACCACATTGAACGCATTGAGAGAGGCAGGGCCATTACGGTTACCTTTGAGAAGCCTTTTGTGGGCGACAAGTTTCAATCAAAGGATATCATCTACGACCGGATGACAGAATCCCTCTCTACATCCCACCCAGATCTCAATCTCATGTTCCAGGAGGGCCAGAGATACCCTCTTGAGATTGTTGACATTTTTGCCCCTGGATCTTCTCCCATTGAGATCCTGCGTGACTACAACAAGCAATTCGGCCTGGCCCTTGATGAGTCAGAGATGGAGTACTTGGTAGAAGTCTTCAAACGCCAGGGCCGACCTCCTCACGACGTTGAGCTCTTTATGTTTGCCCAAGTCAACTCCGAGCATTGCCGACACAAGCAATTCAATGCCAACTGGAAGATCGATGGTGTTGAGATGGGGCACAGCCTGTTTGGGATGATCCGCAACACTCACAAGCACACCCCTGATTTCACTGTATCTGCCTACAGTGACAATGCTGCGGTCGTCCAGGGAGAGACTGCAAGTTTCTGGGCCCCCGACTATTCTACGGGTACTTGGAAACTGACCAAGGAAGTTGTTCACGTCCTCATCAAAGTAGAGACGCACAACCACCCCACTGCTATCTCGCCCTTCCCCGGTGCCGCCACAGGCTCCGGAGGAGAAATCCGTGACGAAGGTGCCGTTGGCCGTGGCTCCACCCCCAAAGCCGGTCTTTGTGGCTTCTGGGTCTCCGAACTCCTCATTCCGGATCAGAAAGCGCCCTGGGAAGTCGACTTGGGCCGCCCTTCACACTTCGCTAGCAGTCTTGACATCATGCTTGAAGCACCTATTGGAAGTGCTCGCTTCAACAATGAGTTTGGCCGTCCTTGTCTCCTAGGATGCTTCCGTACGCTCTTGACTGATGTGGGCAAGGAAGGATCTCCTGAGTGGAGGGGATACCACAAGCCCATCATGATTGCTGGTGGTGTTGGAACTGTCCGACCCCAGCACGCCCTCAAGAACCCTGAGGATGTTCAAGATGGTGCCCATGCTATTGTTCTTGGAGGACCTGGAATGCTGATTGGGCTTGGAGGTGGTGCCGCTTCTAGCAACGCCTCTGCTGAAGAGACTGCAGAGCTTGACTTTGCAAGTGTTCAGCGAGGCAATCCCGAGATGCAACGACGAGCTCAGATGGTTATCGATGCTTGTGTTGCTCTTGGCGAGCAAAACCCCATTGCTATGATTCACGATGTTGGTGCGGGTGGTCTGTCTAACGCACTTCCTGAAATCGTCAAGGATGCCGGTTTTGGAGGAAACTTTGAGCTGCGCCAAGTTCACACCGCTGACAGCAGCATGAGCCCTCTCCAAATTTGGTGTAACGAGTCTCAGGAACGATATGTTCTTTTGGTTAACCGGGATGGTGTCAATCGATTCACAAGCATCTGCCGTAAGTCCATCCAATTTCTGTTATCCCATAGTATTCTCGTACTAAACATACCCAGGCCGAGAGCGATGCCCCTTCTCCGATGTTGGAACCGTCGCCATCAAGACCCCAGAAGGAGACTCCAAGCTTGTCCTCACAGATCGCGATTCAAAGGACGGACCTTCCCCCATTGACCTTCCAATGGATGCATTGTTCCCTGCTGGACGCAAGCTTGAGCGTGTGGTCGAGACCAGAGACCTTGGCTTGCCAGCTTTCAACGCAGCCTCGGCCCTCGAGGGGGTCTGTGGCGCCGACGCTACCAAGGATGTGATCATCTCGGAAGCTGTGAACCGGGTGTTCCACATGCCCTCTGTTGGATCCAAGTCTTTCCTCATCACCATTGGTGACAGAACCGTCGGTGGTCTCTCTGTCCGTGACCAGATGGTCGGCCCCTGGCAAACACCCGTTGCTGACTGCGCTGTGACCGCAACCTCGTACAGCATCGGCAGCAACCAGCGAACTGGAGAAGTAATGGCTATGGGCGAGCGCCCTCCTATTGCTCTCATCTCCCCTGCCGCATCCGCTCGCATGGCTGTAGCAGAGAGTCTGCTCAACCTTGGCGCTGCAGACTTCCTGGGAGGCATGGAAAGAATCAAGCTCTCTGCCAATTGGATGGCGGCCGTTAACCACCCCGGAGAGGGTGCTGGACTGTTCCAGGCTGTCCAGGCTCTGGGTATGGAGCTCTGCCCTCAACTTAACATCTCCATCCCTGTGGGCAAGGATTCTACATCCATGAAGGCTTCGTGGAAAGACCGTGAGACCAAGGAAACCAAGAGCGTAACTGCCCCGATGTCCGTCATCATCACTGCTGTCACAGTTGTTGAAGATGTGCGCAACACATGGACTCCCCAGCTTCGACGATATGAGGATGTCGGAGAAACTGTGCTCATGTTTGTTGATCTTGCTCAGGGCCACCGAGCTATGGGTGGTTCCGCACTCGCCCAGGCATTCGGCAAGGTTGGCAACGAGGCCCCTGATGTACGAAGCCCTGAGCTGATTGCAGACTACTTTGATGCCCTCTCCCAACTTCACAAAGCCGGAGTTGTTCTTGCCTATCATGATCGCTCAGACGGTGGCTTGATCACGACCGTGGCCGAAATGATGTTCGCTGGCCGTTGTGGAGTTGATATCGAACTTGACGAACTCTCCAATACTGGCTCCATTGGAGATATTCTGGACGCCCTCTTCAACGAGGAGCTTGGCGCTGTCTTCCAGATCAAGAAGGGCGACGAGATCAACTTTAAGAGATGCTTCGCTACATGTGGACCTCCCGCTGGACTCATCAAGAAATTCGGCGCTGTACAGCCGAAATCGAAGCAGACATTGAACATCAAGTACGGTGCCAGACCCGTGGCTACACTAGATCGTACTCAGATCCAGCAGTGGTGGTCACAAACAAGTTACGCCATGCAAAGGGAAAGAGACAACCCTGCCAGTGCAGAGGCTGAATACAATACTATCGCCGATTCCAGCGACCCCGGCCTATCCTTCAGACTCAAGTACTCTCCAGAGGAGAACATCCTACCTCTCACAGCTTCATTGACGGGCTTGGTTAAGGGCGCTCCTCGAGTTGCTATTCTCCGTGAAGTTGGTGTCAACAGTCATCGTGAGATGGCGTTTGCCTTCAAGGCAGCTGGATTCGAGCCTATCGATGTGCACATGAGCGACATCCAAGAAGGACGCTCCCTGGCAGACTTTGTCGGTCTGGCTGCCGGAGGCGGCTTCTCCTACGGTGACGTATTCGGCGCCGGTGTGGGCTGGGCACAATCTATCCTGGAGCACAAAAACGTCCGTCAAGAATTCCAAACCTTCTTCAACCGCCCTGATACCTTCGCCCTGGGTGTCTGCAACGGATGCCAGATGCTTACGCGTCTCAAGGAGCTGATCCCAGGGGCGGAGAACTGGCCTACATTCGTGGAGAACGCAAGCCGGCAATACGAGGCTCGATTCACCATGGTCAAGATTGACGACTCAGCCTCGGAGACGCCCTCGGTTTTCCTCCACGGCATGAGCGGGTCTGCCCTCCCCATTGCCGTTGCCCATGGTGAAGGCCGTGCCTCCTTCACCAACGATGCGAGCCTGAACGTACTCAACTCAGACGGCCTCATCCCCATAAAGTACGTAAACAACCGACTGGAGGTTGCAGGGCCGGATCAGTACCCGTACAACCCGAACGGAAGCCCAGGCGGCATCGCTGGTGTGCGAAGTCGCGACGGCCGAGTCCTCGCACTGATGCCACATCCTGAGCGCACAATTCTGGCAGACGTTGGCAGCTATGTCCCATCTGATCAGGTAGCCGAGTGGGGAGAATTCGGGCCGTGGGTTCGTATGTTCAAGAGCGCTAGACGGTGGGTTGGTTAGGCCTTTTGTGTTGTTGGGTTTCGATGCCAGGGGTGTGTTGGTTGGGTTGGTTTGTTGGTTCCAAGGGGGAGGGTCTCCTACGGGTGGGAAAAAAGGGTGTGGGAAAGGGCGAGACGCTGAAGCTTCCTTTCTCGTCTTTGCTCACTTCGCACTTTTTGCAGTGCGTTGAGCGAATCCGAAGAAAGAGGGCTACCTTGAAGGTCTCGCCAAAGGGGGCATTGCGGCCGTGGGGACATGCAGCCGGGCCCTCTTGGAACTACATCCGGCACCACAGCTACAGGGATGTAAATGCAAGCGAGTGCCGTGCGCACACCTACATACCATGCGGCCACTCTCTACCATGTACGTGAGATTCAGAAAACAGTGGAGGGTGTGATGTGTCGATTGAATTGATCTATTGCCTTGTTGGTAAAACATGTACGCAACCGCCCAGAGGTGCAACCCGGGACCGAATAAAACCAACAGAGCCCCCGAAATGAGGGATGTCAGGTGGGTTGGGACGTCGAAGGGGAATGGGCTGATCCAAACCATCTCAACCAACCTCTTCGGCGTTACTTTCCAACGATACCTACCTGTTGGGCCTATCTGATTTCCTCGATTCAGCAGTGGGCTCTCTTCCAACGTAAGTACATCTCCGACGTATGACTTGGGCGCCACGCCTATCGTCAGGGTCGTAGCGAAAGTTTAGCTTCGTAGCATGACGGATTCCTCCATCATCGTACATGCATCTTGCATGCGCGAAACGCCAGCTGGGTGTGTTCCACACAGCCAACCAGCACACACACACACACACACACGCACACACACACACAGGCGAGCCACCCAACGGCCGGCAGGTCCAGCACAGGGCTGACTGCTACCGTCGGCTGGTTTGGGTTCTCCGTTTGAGTGTGCGAGGAGGGCAGGGCCAGCAGAGTACGACTGACGGATGCAAGAGACGCCGTTGCAGTGCCGCCCAACCTGAAGCACAGGCGGGCCGAGGTGGTCTCTATCCCGTGCAGCAAGCAGCAGCACGACCCAGCGACGGTCGCAATCAAATCAAACGGGCCCAACTCGAGATCAACAAAAGGTCGCTCAAGGCCCAACAAAAATCAGGCTCTTCGTGTTATCGGGCTACTTGCTGGCACTGCGACCGTACGTACATAACACCCGACTTCAGCTGCCCGTCCGTCCCCACATCCCACATCCCACCTAAATCCGACATGTCCGCTGATGCTATGTTTTGTAATGTCGTAAACGAACACACACATACATTGGTTATCCACTTGGGACCAACAGGCGGTGGTGCGTAATCATCTAGTCAAAACAAGCACCAACGGGCCAAGACGTACTGATTTGGAAACAAGGCTCTACTTACCCAAAACACGAGATAAATTAAAAAAAACTCGCAAATGGGACTGCTCCGATATTGCCTCTCGTGTATCTTTATATTAACTGCAGCCAGCGGTCGCCGCCCTCAAACCAGGAATTCGGCCACGCCCTATTCAGGAATCAGCCTTTTTCGATCGGCACCTGTCATGGGGGGTCCCATATATAGACACCGCAGGCAAACGCAGAAATAGGCACTTTGGGACTCTCCCAGTCGGCGCCAAGGGGAAAACCCCGATGCCTGCTCGAATGCTGCTGCAGACGCATGTGTGTAGCTGGGGGAAGACTTTAAAATTTCGACTACCGCAAGTCCCATGGCCGATGTCCCACCTGCATTGCCATTCCGGGTGGACTTCAGTCTTGTGGATGTATCATGTATGGGACGCACGCACATTTGCCAAGGGTCGTGGCTGGTTATTCTGGAGTCCTGGGCAGAAAGAATGGGTAAGTATTGCGTAACTCGGGCCCTACCAACACAAGACAAGCCGAGAGCCAAGCCAACCAGGCAGCCTCGTCGACACCCATTCGGGGTTGAAAGGAGGGGGATGAGCACAAGGAAGGAAGCCCTCGGTGCCGCACAAGAACCGTCACAAATCATCAAACCCAAGGCTTCGTTTTTGGCTTTCTCGTAAGAACTGACGTGTGTGGTGTGCAGTGTTGTCGCCCGTAACTAAGCCTATTAGATCCCCCAGTGCAACTCCAGAGGAGGATTGGCAGCGAGGAATTCCTTTGAAGCACAAGGGCCGTCAGGGCTTGTTATTGTCGCTTTGGGGGCCAAAAGCAAGCAACCAACTGCTACAGCCTCCATCATGCAACAACCTGCCCTCTCGGCCGTAAACTATCGAATCTGGCCTCTCGTGGTAAGCTGGTAATTGCGGGACACATCTTCCCTTGAACCACCCCCTCTCTCTGCATGTTTTGCTGCTGCCTTGGATAGACCTGGGGTGGACTCTGTGCCTCTCACCTTGGGCTCTCTCCTCTAATCTTCCCTCTGGCTCGCATTCTCTCTATCCTTCGTCGCATTCCAAGCAATGAGATTGCACGTTGCGAGATGAGGAAGAGAAAGAAACCCACCCATAAAGTAAGAGCTTGATTCCTTGCCCACATAGCAGAGCGAACCTCGCTTTCGCGATCCTAGGCTCCTGGGGGGTGGAGGGGGTGCCGCGGCTTTTGGCCATGCGCCACCGGCTTTTGGGCGTACAATCTTACTCTATTCGTACAACTTGAACCACATGGCAAGGAAGGCACTGGATCTGACTGGGTCCGGCAACCCTTGGAACTGCAAGGACAAGCCAGGCTTGGGAACAGCAAGCCAAGTGCCGCCTAGCTCAAGAACCAGCTGCCTGTTTATTCCCCAAGCTCGGCCAAGACAGCTACGAGCACTATGCCTAGGGCAGCCTCCAGCGCGAATGCGAGCGAGTTTCTCGAAGCCCAGCGGCCGACCCTCTGTACTATGTAGTTGATGGCAAATTTCCTTTCCGCTATAGGACGGGTACGCCAGTAAGGATCGGTGTGGTAGTAAGATGTCATGGCCGGCGCGGACCCCAGAAATTAGCGGCTGCTCGACAGCCAGATCCAAGTGTGGAATGGTCTGCGTTGTGCTGCTGCGAGAGGGCTGCCAGGGATCGCACGCTGGGTCGCAGTTACATGCCGAGCCTCCTCTCGTCATTTGCGCGCAGCAGCGCTAACTCAGCGTATACGCGCATTGGATTGCCATTCTGAGGCGAAAGTGCCTCCTGCCTGTATTACCGAAGCCACGGGGCATGGAGGGCATCTTACCCCAAGGGGGAGGGGACCAGGTCTGCTCATAGACCTGCCACTGCAATCAGAGGCAAAATGCGATGCGGTGTGTAAGCGGGTAAGATCAGACAAGACATCATCGTGAGCCGCCCCGGACGTGACAACGGCAGATGGCGCACTTTGCTATTCTGAGATGGAGGAGCAGGGAAGCGGTGCAGGCCATGTCCCAGGCTGCAGGTGTAGGGTAACCCGCCAGGAATGAGGTCGCATACCAACCTACCAGTGACCACCATTTCCCCATCAGCCGCTACCCATCAAGCCGCCCACCCTGGCCGTCGCTGCATCGGCACTTTCTAGGCTAGGACGGGGTCCATGGCAAATGATGGCACGGGGGACGTGCGCACCCAGTCGAGGTGGCCGAGGGCTGGCATTCTAGAAAACCCGCTCAGACCAGGTGCCCTGAAGTGCCTGCTAGAGTGCCCCGTGCGGAAGGAGGAGCAAAATAGAGTGGTCGCCGACCTGCAAGGAGCAGCATCCCAAGATGTATCTGGAGCTAAATATACTCTGTGGCGAGAGGTTCATGTCGAAAGGCAATACCCTATTGGGAAGAGAAGGAACTGAAGAGGAAATTAACACCCTGCTTTGCTCCCAGCGACAATGCACTGGAGAAAGACAACACTAGCTGATCTTAACCTCCCGTAGCCTCTTCGTCATCAGACACAAATTCGGCAACCTCCGTGCTGCCCCTGCCCATATAGTGCTTCTTGGATCGCGCGAGTGACCAAATGGAACGAAGCTGTGGTGTACATAATGTCTTATGCAGCAATGCCTTCCCCGGTAGGTACCTCCTAACTGTGTGTAAGCCACCATACTAAGGCATGTACTGGGATGCCACGAGGGATTTGATTACCGGGCTTCTCTCCCCTCCCCCGTCTCTGCATACTTGCCTACTTGGGGCGTAGCAGCTCTGTTTCGTTATCTCGCAAAGGGATATAATAAGGTAAGCACTCACAATAGTGTGCGTAGAGGTGGTGGGGAATTCCCAAGAATCCGGGTCACGATGCCATTGGGGGAGAGGCGAGGAGGCAATAGCTCCTCTTCTTCTTTTCGTAGCGGCCGAAGTACCCGCGCGTCCTCCCGACTCCTCTAATTATTCCTTCTCCCTGACCGCCGACTGCTCTCGCGCGCTCGGCACTGTCTGAGTGGGCGCTTTACGGAGCCTAGGTGAGGATTACGGTAAGATCGTGTACCGTACTGGGGAGCGGTGTCATACTACCTTACCCTTTCCTTCAGGGCCTGCATCCTGGCAGAGACATGAAACAGACGCTGCATAGCGTATATAAAATGCAGCGACGGCTTCTGTGTCGATCAGTTTACGGAGAGCGCAAGCCCGACGATCTGCCCCCCGGACGGGTCCCTCCCGCCAAGCCATCAACGGGGGGTTTTGGGCAAATGAACCGTCGGGTGGTGGCTTTTTGGTGTATTCTTATTTTCTCTCTTCTTCTCGCGCGCATCCTCTTCCTTTGTTCGCATTCGCATGATCCAGCCCTTTGGTGCGTGCCGCTTGGGGGGAGACCCCTGGCTGCCTGGCTCGTGGTCAGAGGCTTACATTTCCCAGAGTGGTGACATGCTTCGGAAATGGAAGGAGAGCCTGGGGCAGGGCTGGAGGTGATTGGGAAAGTGCCGAGAAATGCTCGCTTTTGCCTTGTGGACCTCCGCTGAGCCCGTGCCTCATCCGTGCCTAGATGCGCCATTGGCTGGTTCGCGAGGCCGGAGCCCCACTCCTCGGGTTCACTGGAACATGACACCTAATCCGGACATTCGTCTCACCATGCCCATCGTAATACCTAATCGCCGGCCAAGGCCTGTGTATGCATCTGGAAAGTGGTCAA